TGCGGGTGAGTGAGTATGCGTGTGAGTGTGTGTGAATGTGCGTGTATTTATCCATACACACATGTGTGTGTGTGTGCGTATGACGATGCGTTGCGAGCAAGAAGGGCAGCAGGGAGGGTGACGGCAACGCGACTGCACAAACATCCAGCATCGTGCACCCAGAAAACAGAACACACAGACACACACACACAGACACACACACACAGACACACACACAGACACACACAGACACACACAGACACACAGACACACAGACACGGTCCATGCACGTACTTTTGGAGCTCTTCTTGCCCATGTGTTCGTTGTCGACTGTGTCCTCGGACCACTTGACGCGCTGGGCCGGCTGCCGCAACTTGACAACCACCTGAAACAGAATCAGCGAACAAGGCGGGAAATGAGACGTTGGTGAGACGTCAGGGAGAAGCACGCCACAAGTGACAGGGACAGACTGTGCATTGCAACAAAATCACACACTGCAGCGCAAAAGCCAGCGCGAAAGACAAAGCACACCCATTCACACACGCACGCACACACACACACACACACACACACACACGAGTGTGCACACCCATGCACACACACACACACGCACACACACACACACACACAAGTGTGCACACCCATACACACACACACACACACATGCACATGGAAAGCGCTCTCACATGCGGTGCTGGTTGCGCCGTTTGCTCAACGACTTGTGTTTGGGAGCCGGTTCCGGGCTGTGCCACAGCCGTGGCCGTGGATGAAGCAGGTCCTCCTTGCGCCTGCGCCTGAGGCGGCTTTGGTTCACTCATATCGATGCAGCAGCACTGTGACTACAGCTCAGGTGATGTGATGTGGATGTGTGTGCTCACACAAGAAGAACGAGACGACACAGCAGCAGCGGCAGCAGCAGAACCAGCCAGCCGTTTTCCTCCTGTTGTGACAATTTGTCGATATTTTCAACCATATTTCGTACCAAATTGCGCTGCCCACCAAACCCAAACAAACCAAAAAACAGGCAGCGAAGCAAGCGAAGCCGTAACACAGCGAGCTGTCTGCATTTCTTCTTCCTCGCGCAATCACTCGCCCACGCACTCGCCACAATCACGATCACACAACACACAACACACACACACACACACGCCGCACGAACACCACACAAACGAAACACACCCTTCGCAACAGCTACAGCAAGCGAGCGAGACAGCCAGCAACAGCACTTTTCGCACTCAACCCGCTCACAGCAGCATCTCCCAGCAGCATGTCGTCGGCGCTGTTCGCTGTGGCGCAGGAGATGGTGCCTCGCGCCAGGCTGGTCACCCTGTCCTCGGCTCCGCGCCACTGCGGCGACACTGGTGATCACGCCACGCCAGCCTCTGTCCTCCACAGCATGCGGTTCACCGTGTGCAACACGGGTACCATGCCATGGCCACGCTCCGTCACGGTGCGCAGCGTCAACAGCGGCGAGCCCGTGGTTGTTGCGGAGCAGTGTGATGACGCCAGCCAGCGGCCAGTCCAGCCTGGGGAGGCCGTGGACGTGCTTGTCCAGGGTGCAAGATCATGCACCCTTCGTCTGACAGCCAACGACGGCGCACTGTCGTTTGGCCCTTTCCTCCACTTCCAAGTCGCCCAGCGCGCAGCAGCGTCGTCGCCACCACGGACGAGTTCAGCCACAGCCCTTGCAGTGCAGCCCACCATGGTCGTCCTGCTGAAGCCCACGCACACACACGCCGGCAACGAGCGCATCAAGGTGGCCATCAAGCTCACCCCCGCACAGGCAGCTGAGCTGCGTCGCGCCCAGCACCTACAAGAAGCAGAAGAAGAGGAGGAAGGGGAGGAGCAGCAGCGGGCCGAAGAAGAAGAAGAAGAAGAAGAAGAAGAAGAAGAAGAAGTCCAAATTGCATCGGAAGACCAAGCAGTCTATGCGGTTTCTCCTCGAGTGGCTGCACAAGCGGAGGAGGAGCACCATGGCAAGGACATGCAACGCGGGGAAAGCCTGCAGGCTGAGATGCAACAGGAGGCGCCATTGATTGAACTCTTCACAGAACCGCCGCGCGAAGAGGGCGATATCCACCAGCAGCCGGCGACAGAGCAAGAGGAGCAGCCGCCTCTGTCTTCTTCTCCCACAACACCAACATCAGCAGCAATAGCATCAGCGCCAGCAACAGCAGCAGCAACGCCACCAAGCAGCCGCAACGAGCAACAGCAGCCTGTGTCCGCTGTACAGACACACAAAGCCAATCCACACGACCCCCAAGACTCACGAGAGACGCAAGCACAACATCCACAAGAGGCACACGACACACACGACATGCAAGAACCACAAGAACCACAGCAGACACCACAAGACGATGAAGAGGTGGAGGAGGAGGAGAGTGCGTATGTGCTGCCTGAGACACGATACGAGCTGCCGCGCTCCACGTTTGACGTTGCCGCACTTGTTGCCAACCAAGACATGGCGTGGTTCCCTCCGCCGCCAACGGCGTATCCACCTCGCTCCCAGTCCATCAGCAGCGAGGAGCACGTGCACAGCAAGGCAAGCTGGCGCGATGAAGACTACCCGGCCACCACTGGTGCCGACCACCGCCACCGCCACGACCACGATGATGACATCTTTGACGCCGTTGCTGCTGGTCGATATGGAAAGGGTCGCGGAGCACACAGCCGCCTCAGTGACGACAGTGCTGATGGTGATGATGGTGATGGCAATGTCAGCGCCGGTCTGTTTTCGTTCCTGCAGCCCGCGTTTGACTGCTCTTTCCTCTTTGAGCATTCCCTGCCGCAATGCGTCTCAGCACTTGCAAGCTTGTCCACCGATGAACCACAAGCGGCAACAGCCCCACCAACGCCTACAACAACAGCATCAACAACAGCATCAACAGCAGCAGCAACCACAACCCCTGCCACCAGGCACACATCAACACACTTACCACCCCCACCCCCACCCCCACCCTCAAAAACAACAACAACAACAACAACAACAGCGTCATCACGCGTGTCAGACACCAAGGCGTCGCCTGCGTACGACCTTGACTTTGATCGTCCGTATCAGCTGCCAGAGCCAACGTTCGATGTGTCAACTCTTGTTCTCGACTGATGTTGTGCAGCCGTTGTGTTGCTGCTCGTCGTGCTGCATTGCGCGTGAAGATGTGCGCATTTGTGTGTGTGTGTATGTGTGTGTGTGTGTGTGAGTGTGTGTGTGTGTGTGTGTGTGTGTGTGTGTGTGTGTGTGTGTGTGTGTGTGTGTGTGTGTGTGGGAGAGAGAGTCTGTGTGAGTGTCTGTGTGTATGTTTGTGTATTTTTTTTTGTGCGTGTGTGTGTGTTTGTGTGTTTTGTGCGTGTACGTGTGTGTGTGATCAAGCGCTTCACACTTGTTTGTGTTTGTGGAGTGCTGGATGGCTTCATCCCCACCCCTCTCCACCATCCCTCTCCTAAGTTGTGTTGTTTCATTCATAACGTGCTTGCTTGCTGCTTGCTGCTTGCTGTGGGGGTTTACTCATGTCAGTTGAACCATGCCATCATGTCACAGCACAACATGTTGATGTTGCCCCGTCGCCGTCGCCACGGCTGCTTCTTCCTAACTTAGCCACGTTGATTCTAACCGAAATACACAACAGTCAACACGCGTCGCATGTTGTGCACTCGTCTGTCACGTCTCTTACCACAGCCAACCCCTTGAACGCAACCCATACACGACCCCACCAACCAACCCAACCAACCCAACAAAACCAAACCAATCAACCAACCAACCCAACAAAACCACCACTCCATCACTGCGCATCAGTGCCATCTGGCAGCGTGTGCTGGTCGTGGTGACGATGCCTGTTCAGCTCCATCTTCAGCCGCTGCGCCATCGAGCTCATCGTCCGAAACATTGGCCGCCGTCGCCCGCCACCACCCTCACTCGCACTCCCGCTCGCATCAGCACCATCGCTACCATTGTCATCGTACCTGGGCTGCTGCTGTTGTTGTTGTTGTTGCTGCTGCTGCTGCTGCTGCTGCTGCTGTTGTTGTTGTTGTTGCTGCTGCTGCTGCGTGTCTGGTGTCTGGTGTGAGTTGGCCGAGTTCGCCGCTTGCCCGTTGACACCAGCGTTGTCAACGCTGCGGTCGTGGCTGTTGCGTCCACTGCTGCCCCGTCCCTTTTTGCCGCGGTGGCTGTAGCCATTCCCCTCTCCCTCTCCGTTGATGCCAGCCTCATCCGCACCATCATCATCAAACTCATCATATGTGTCATCAAACGTGTCGGCATCATCTTCCTCCTCACCTTCGGCGTCATCATCATCATCATAGTCGTCGTCCAAATCACCATCAGTCTCATCGGCCATGCTGCTGCCGCCCGTCTTTGGCTGGCGCTGAAGCGATGGCCGACGCGCATCAGCAATCCCTTGGGTCTCCTCCTCTTGTTGTTGTTGTTGTTGTTGTTGTTGTTGTTGTTGTTGTTGTTGTTGTTGTTGTTGTTGTTGTTGTTGTTGTTGTTGTTGTTGTTGTTGTTGTTGTTGTTGCTGCTGTTGTTGTTGTGTCTGCGTGTGTGATGTGCGCATGCGGAGATTGCGTGCTGGGACGAACGTCTGGCAATGGCGGCGAGACGAATACAGTGAGATGCGATGGTCGATGAGACAAGTGGGTGGGTGCATGAAGCAGATTACACGGGTGTTGAAAAGCAACAACAAGGGTCACACAAGCACACACCACAGACAGACAGACAGACAGACACACACACACACACACACACACACACACAGACAGGCAGACAGACAGGCAGACAGACAGACACACACACGCACACACACGCCGTACAACTGGCCTTGGCCTCACCTTGCCCGATTGTGGGACAGTGAATCTGGAGACAAGCCACGTTTCGTTGAACATTTTCCACACATGTACAACATCGCCTGTAGTATGTGCACACGCATATATCAGCATGAGATGTGGCGAAGAACAAGTGCATGGTGCTGAAGGTGGGATCAACACCAACGCACATCGTGCACACACACACACACACACACACACATACACACACACGCACACCACATTCGCATACGTGTCCTCACCAGCAATAAAATGATTGCGGCCGTCAAGGGATTTGCATTCCGACAACACATCCGCAATACCAAGCGGCTCAGCAGCTGCAATCGCCAATATGATGGGGGACGTGTGGTGGTCAGCACGATGCAGGATTGGATTCATGTACGCGGGTGCAAAGCCAGTGCAAGGCTGCTGCAAATGTTGAACTAATGCGAGCATGAAAGCAAGCACGCCCCTGCACAAAACGCAGCACACACGCACGCACCCTCATTTGCGGGCGTGGGTGTGATGTGGTCGTGCTCTGGTGTGTCTCCATGATGCTCAATCGTGACGTGAGCGGGCCAAATCTGCACACACACACATACACACACATACACACAAAAGCGCCACGAAAGCAGTTAACAGTGTGCAAACCGAACACGGAAGCAACAGGAGATGACACACAGAGAATCGAATGAGAGGCGGATGAAATCGGTTGTGTGTGTGTGCATGTGTGTGTGTGTGTCTGCACACATACCTCGTGGTGGTTTTGTGCAATTGCGCGAAGATCAATCACACCATCTTTCTGTGCCATCGACGAAAGCACAGAAGAAACTGCAGCCGAGTCCTCGTCCCGCTGTTGTTGTTGTTGTTGTTGTTGTTGTTGTTGTTGTTGTTGTTGTTGTTGTTGTTGTTGTTGTTGTTGTTGTTGTTGTTGTTGTTGCCATCCGTGTGCAACAGCAGTTGGCCGCGCCGATGATGGTGACGGATATGAAAGCGCCGCGTGCTGCACTGACGTTGACGATGGCGGTGGTGGTATCGGGGCAACAGAGAACGATGAAGAGCCGAGCGGGCTGGCGGAGGACCGGTGTACCTGCGCAGAACCGGTTGCGCTGGCGTTTGCAACGAACGGGGACGAGGTGAGCGTCGACATCTGGGATATGGAGGAGAGGGAGAGAGAGGAGGCGCTATTGGCGCCAAACAGCTGCGTGAGTGTCAGCAGTGAGCGGTTGGAGAGAATGTCGTCGATCATGTGCAGATCAGCTTGCACCTGCACGGACAAGGCGTTGGTGGTGGAGAGAGGGGTGAGGGTGGAGGGGTGGAGGAAATTCGGGGTGGGGCCAGTGTGAGCTGTGATTGTCTGATGGCAATAACCAGAGGCAGCAGTTCGTACAACCACACACAACCAAACACAACCATACACAACCACACATGCACTGCCACATACCCTCTCCAACTCGTCCATGAGTTGCGCCTTCTTCGTTTGCAGAGCCCCAATTACATTTCGCGCTCGCGACTGCAGATGAACACGCACACACGTACACGCACACGCACATGCACACGCACACGCACACGCACAATACAGCGATGGAAATGTCAGGAAGGCCGAAGCGCACCGGCATGTTCTTGTCGCAGTCAAACGATTGAGGCAAGAACACACACACACACACATCCACACACATATTCACACACACATACACACAATCAATTCAACAAAGCACGCAAACAAGTACCGTGAGGTGTTCATCCGACTGCGGGGCGCCGAGCGCTCGCACGACATTGAAAAATGCTTCCTGCGACTTGCTAACACGGCCCTTGCTGCCACTGCCACCAACGGCACCAACAGCAGAAGGTGCCGTGCTGGCAACACTTCCGCTTGCACCAGACGTGTTGCTCCCACCGCTCACTGTTGTGGCGATGGAGTTTGCACTGGGGACCGTGAAGAGACCGCCACCACCACCACCACCACCACCACCATCGTCACTCGTTCGCCGGCGTGAGGAAACGGCTGATGTTGATGATGGCGCTGGCTGTTGGGCGAGCACGCGCGAGAAGGTGAACGGCGTTGTCGTCTTGTTCACTTCCTTCTTCAGTTTGTTCAGGCGGTTCTGGTCCAGCCCACCAACTTCTCCAGACACAACATCACTCTGTGTGTGTGTGTGTGTGTGTGTGTGTGTGTGTGTGTGTGTGTGTGTGTGTGTGTGTGTGTGTGTGTGTGAGTTGTGAGTTGTGAGTGGGTGTGAGTGTGTTGTGCACGTGTGTGTGTGTGTTGTGCATGTGCGCTATTTAGTGTCACCAAACATACTTCGCCGTCATCTTCCGTCCTGCTCCTCCTCCTCCTTCGTCACCACCACCACCACCACCATCACCACCGTGAGTAAGGAGAACGCACCACGTGGAGGGCCAGGTCGAGGACTTGCAGCACCTGTTCCCTCTGCTGCTCAGAGAGCGTGGGGTCCAGCGTGTTCATCTTCCGGTGCCGCCGCGATGCTGACGTGAAGGACAGTGATGGTGGTGATGGTGAGCGAGGTGATGGTGGGGGAATATGCGATGTGGGATGGTCATGGTGGCGGTGAGGGATAGTGACGGTGATATACACGGAAGGGATGAACAGGTGGACGATAAAGCGTTGGTTGCTTGGTTTGTGGGAAGCACAAGAGCGTACACAACCACATATAGCAAGCACACCTCGCCGGGATTCCGGAAGAACAGGAAGAGAATCGATCCAATTCGAAGGCAGCTTCGCCTGCAGCCAGCACAACCACGAACACATTCACGGCGAGGGCAGATGATGGGCAGTCGTCATGTGTGGAAATGTGTGTGTATGTGTGTGCGTGTGTATGTGTGTACGTATGTGTGTGTGCGGACATGTTCAATCACCACAGTGGCGTGTACGTGTCCACCTCCCTCTCTCCCTCTCTCCATCTCTGGTCGTTGTATCCACCCTTACCTGTTGAGCAAAAAGCTGGAGCCAGCGCCTTTGTGCAATCTCAGAGATGAACTTGATCAGGTACGTCTGAGAACGTGGCGGTGGCCAACACGAGAGGTGTTGTTGGTGAGCCGTGGCATGCATGCAGAAGACTTGAACTCACATGTCAAACCACGGTGCGCACACACGCACATGCACATTTTCATGCACACATACATCAACAGACACACGCACACACTCAAACCCACGCACCGTGTTGAGATGCAGGGCGATGGTGGAGGGAAAGTCCGTTTGCGCAATGACGCAATCGCTCAACTTGCACAAGGGTGACAGACACTCGCGCTCCTGGTGTGTCACGTTTCGCAGGCAAGGTGAGTGATCGTTTCCAGGGCCATCAACGCGTTGTCACAAAAATAGACAGCCCAACACAAACACACAGACACACACACACAGACACGGACACAGACACACAGACACACACAGACACACACAGACACACACAGACACACACAGACACACACACACACAGACACACACACACACACACAGATAGACACACCGTGGTAGCGATGAAAATGCAATCACTGCAGAGGACAATTTCCGCTTCCTCGCGATCACGCGGCTTGTACACGCGCGCCGACCTAGCGATGGTGATGGTGCATGAGTGATGATGAATTGTTGGCGGCAGTTCCGTGAGAGATGGGAGAACATGTGGACAGCGCTGAACCAGGCCAACGAGAGAATCCACTCACGCAACCACCACCACCAGCACAACCAGCACAACCAGCACAACCGCCACCACATTCGCTCCTCACTTGAACGTGGCCTTGAGGGCGGAGTTGCTGACGGGCGGATTCTCCAGTGCAACGGCCGTCGTGTCGATAATTTTTCGCCCCGACGACACACACACGTCCGTCTGCAGCACACGCCAAATGGTGGTGGTAGCGATGGTGGCGAGCGAACCATAAAGTTGGTGAGCCCAGTGCTTTGCACACACGAACGCGAATACACACACAAAACACACACACGCGCGCGCAACCACATTTTGCACACACACAGCAGCAGCAGCAGTGTGTGCCGCCAAGGTCACCTCAGTGCTTCGGTATTGGTGGAGGCGGTCGTAGTTTTCGTTGCCGGCGATGGCTGCCCGCTGCACCGCCGCCGCCACATCGCCAAACGCGGCCAGTACTTGTGGCGGCACCTGCAGTGATGGCGACGATGGCCATGGTGGTGATGGTGACGGTGGACAGTATGAGCGCAACAGCACGAGCAGGGTGGCGGCGCGAAGGAGCATGATAACGCCTGAACACGGCTTCGCCATTACCCCCCTCCGCCATCACCGCCATCACCACGACACCACCACGACAATGAAGGCACCGGCACCACCCACAGCAGTCAGTGCACCACCTCGTCGTGTGGAACGTGTCCGATGTTGACGGCGGACGAGAGCGACGCCAGCGCTGCGCCGATGCGCGACAGCTCCTCGTTCACCGTCACGCCCAACCTGATGGCAGTTTTTTGTTGTTTTTTTTGGGGGGGGGGGAATTGGAAGGTGGTGGGCGGTCGTTGGTGAAATGAGGGTGTGGGCAGTGTGGTGAGGATGCATCAGTCGTCATGCACGTACATGCGCACGCATAAACAAAGCTGCAAGCCAGCAACCAACACACCAGCCAACCAAGCTGCACACAACGAAACAACCCAAATAACCAAGCTAGTCACCAAACAAGCGAGCAACCAAACAAAACACATGCAGCCACGACGCACTGTGCCTCGCGGTGGGGCAGGGCCGGGCAGGCGACGGCAGATAGCGGAGATGAGCGGACGATGTTGGCGGTGTGGTGGACGAGCGGCAGCGAGAACACAAACGGTGGACTCGTGCTCTCAAGCGTCGCCTTGAGCCACTGCAGCAGCCGGATTTGCTGCCGGGTGTGCATGTGTGTGCGCATGTATGTGTGTGGTTTGGTTGTGAGGGCAATGTTACACACACAGAACAGTTGTTGTGAACGAGATGCAGCAACTGACTGGCACACACAACATGCACATGCACACAACAGGTCTTGTCAAGATGCTACCCCTACCCCACCTCCTTGTTGGAGGCGTGGCTGGTTTCCTTGAGCCTGTCGACAATGGACGTGTGTAAGGTGTAGAGCTTCGTCACGCCACCAAAGAGGACGCTGTGGTAGGTGGCCGGCATCGTGTCCATAATCGTCGTGTCGCGTGCAAACTTGTCGAGCACCAGCGCAAGATGTTTGCTGTGTTTCGAGGGGAGGAGGAGGAGGAGGAGGTGGTGGTGGTGGTGCCGCGGGGGAGCGGGAGAGAAGGCATGTGCACATGTGTGTGCACACGTTGTGTGAGAGTGGGTACAGAAGTGTGCGCGTATGGATGCAAGTGCGCTTGTTCACGAGTCAATGTATGTATGTATGTGGTGGTGGTGGTGGTAGTTTCGTAGTAATTTCACAATCGCAGGTGAAGCCATCACATGCCATGCGCACGCTGTCCTTACATGAGACGCTCTTCGTGAGTGATGAGGGAGTTGATGACGTCAGAGAGCCTGTGTGTGTGTGTGTGCATGTGTGTGTGTGTTTGTGAGCGTGTGTGTATGTGTGTGCGTGTTAGTCCAGATGAAAGCGACAAAATGCACGTGTGAATCGACTGCGCAGGCAGGCACACGCACAGAGACACACGCACACGCACACGCACACGCACACACACACGCACACGCGCACGCAGACACACATGCAGGCAACCGAAAGTCACCTGTATGTCTTCTGCTGACGGTGGTGTTGCTGTGGCTGTGCAGGCTGTGGGGGCTGTGCCTGGGGTTGCCGTTGCTGTGCTGTGGGAGCGTGGACCTCCAGGCGAATGTTTGGATCAGGCTGGAATTCCCTCGCGTGGGCGACGCGCCAAGGTGCCTGTCATCGCACAATGGGCACCACAAACATGACAATCAGCAAGGAAAGCAGGACCCACGGAACACAAGTAGGCACATTCAGCCAGACATGCAGCAAATAGCAACATACGCACACACACACACGCACGCAAACACACACACACAGACACAAACACACACACACACAGACACAAACACACACGCACGCAAACAAACGCACACGCACGCAAACAAACACACACACACACACAGACACAAACACACACGCACGCAAACAAACGCACACGCACGCAAACAAACGCGCACGCACGCAAACAAACGCGCACACACAGACACACAGACACACAGACACACAGACACACAGACACACAGACACACAGACACACAGACACAAACACGCACGCAAACAAACGCACACGCACGCACACACATGCACAGCCAAACGACGATAGCTGAGTGCACACCTGGATGTCTAGGGGATGGCGTGCGGTGGATTGGGCGATGGCTGGGGCGGTTGTGCCTGCCACGTCCTCGGAGATGACCCAGCATTGCAGCTGAGCCGAGTAGAACATGACCAAGTTGCCGCCCTGGTTGTAGAACACGGGTCGGCGGTCAGCGGACTGCCTGAGGCTGTCCGGCAAGACCTGGTCTTCGACTTGCACATACACGCCATTGATGCGGTCGTTGTTTCCAACCCTGTGCGTTGCATGAACACAAATGTTACGTGAGGCCAATGTAAGCGTGATGTCGTGCTTGGTACAGAAGCGACAAGGACAGAGACATAGAGGCACGGAGACGCACGCAGACACACACAGACACACATGCACACCTTCCGGAGAGCCGAATCGCTGTTGCCCGAGACATGGTATCGATCACACTGTTGAAGACTAGAGCTGGCCTTTCCACAGAAATTAGAGCAAGCGAGGCAGAGTGAGAGAGAGAGAGAGAGACGGAGAGAGAGAGTGTGTGTTTGTGTTTGTGTTAGAACGAGAGCGTGCGTGAGTGTGTGAGTGTGTGTGTGCGCGCGCGTGTGTGTGTGTGAGTGAGTTGGAGAGGCGAGCGGTGATGATATGAGGCAGCAAGCCAGCTGTGATGAGATAACGCGCAAGCGCACACCACGGCGGCAGCACACACAGATGCACACAAGGCTGGAGCGAACCTGAGTCTCTTGTGTCGTTCTGCTACTCTGCCTTCTTCGTATCTCTGTGATTTGATGACTGAGCCTTTTGGAGACACACACACTCACGCACACACGCACGCACACACGCACACACACACACACTCTCTCTTCGTCCCCCCAGCCAGAGCTTCGACAAGGAAGCAAGCAGCGTCGTCACCCTTTGCTTGTGAACTCGGCGGCTCTGATCACACTGCTTGGCTGAAGCAAGACAAGATGAGCAAGCAAGAAGAAAGCAAGAAAGCAAGAAAGGGGGGTGGCGTTGGGGCAGTGTTCGCGCAAAGTGGCGCGGCGGTTGTTGGTTGCTGAATTTTGATTCGATGTGTTTTTAAGGACTCTAGGCTGACGTCCTTGAAGGTCTTACATGCTTCGGAGTAGCGAAGACTGAATGCGTTTTCGCGATTTGGCAATGCACCGCGTCGCATTCCATGCGCACCAACAACAAAGACAACAACAGGCCAACAACAACGGAAACGGCAAGCCACCAGCCATCCAACCAGCCAACCACGCTCATAGGCGATCGAAGATATCATCAGCCAGCAAAGAACGGGAGCACCTTCACCTTATTTGTTTGACCTTGGCCAAACAGGTAGAAGAAAGGGAGGCGGCGTGTTGTGCTCGTACTTGTTCTGCGCTGTTGTTGAAGTTTGTGAGGTTGTGACGTCTCAGCCTTGGAGCCATACACAGCAACACCGACCACACAGCAACGCCGACCACACACACACGCACTCAGACGCCCAAGCGTTGGAAGAACAGCTAGAACAGCTGCATTACGGCCGGCCAAGAAACAGTGCCAGCACCAGAACCTTGCACCACCAACAACACCAGCAGGCAGAACGTCGCAGCCGAGTAGCAGTGGTGGCAGACAGCTACAGCTGACCATGCGGTCGGACTGTGATGATCCGCCTGCGCGCGTGACCCGGCGCACGAGTCACGAAGCAGCAGTCACAACAACAGCAACACGAACAGCTGCTGCTCCCACAGCTGGAGGTGAGCGGCGGGAGAGCGGCGATACCCGTGCACGTTCAAACAACATTCCCAGCCGCAACCGCAACCACAGCAACCAGAACAAGCAGCACACCATGGAAACTGCAGATGGGGGCGGGAAGGTGCGACGGTCCAGCTCCCAGGACAAGCTCTGCACCAAGTCTGCAAGCAACATCTCAGGGCAATCCATGTCCACAGACACGTCCTCAGAAACAGTTCAATCATCGTCAGATGCAGCATCAGGCACCACCTCGCATGCAGCACCGTCATCGTGTGCCTCTACCCTCGCCCAGACCGGCGCAGCTCATGTGCCTGCGCCCACATCATCGCACACGGGCAGCAGGGACAGCAGAGACAGCAGTGCTGCTCTGACGTCGATGGGGACCGCGTCAAAGCTCTTGCTGGAGGTGCGTTGAAGGAGGAGGAAGCACGAGAGTGTGTATTGCGTGTATGTACGTGATGTGTGGAAGCTCCTGTGTGAGAGCGTGTGTTCGTGTGTTTGTGTTTGTGTGAGAGAGCGTGTGTTCGTGTGTTCGTGTGTGTGTGTGTGTTTGTGTTTGTGTGTGTGTGTTTGTGTTTGTGTGTATGTGTGTGCTTGAGCTTGGTTGTTGGGTTCGGACCTTTGAGGTTGGGGTTGCATGGGCGGGTTTTGTGCCTGTGTTGCTTTGGACTGCGAAATGCCTTGTTTGCAGAAGTGTCCACGCACATTTCAAACGAATGCGCTGCGGCAAGAGCATCTCTTGTGTCGCCCACACGATCCCATCCTCACACACAAAAACAACCACCAACACATGTCCACACACATGCATTCGTTTCGCTTGCCCTCCATGGTGTTATCTCATGTATCTGATGGTTCCACAGCAGTCTGGCGACCAGCTGCTCACTGCAGAGTCAGCAGATTTGCTGACATCAAGCACCTCATCGACGAGTGGACGGCGAAACGTGTTCCGGGCGGGCCAGCTCGGCGCCATCCGCCTCTCCCTCATGATCAACCCGACGTCGCGTGAGCTCCTTGTCACCGTCATTGAGGGGCGCGACTTCCCCATGCTTGGATCAGATCTTCCAGACAGGTGCAGTGAATGGCTCGCGACAGGTGGCGCTGTATTCCTTGAGTTGCTGCTCGCGCGTTTTGTGTTTGCTTTGCTTGTGTGGTAGGTTGTCTGCGTGTTTGTCTTGCTTGTGCATGTGTATTTCCATGCCTTTGATCGTTGGCTCGTGCGGTTTGCTTGGGGACTTTGTGAAGACACTCCTCTACCATGCTACGCCGATGTGGCTCGCACTCACCAACCCCCCTCCCTTTCTGCTCTCATTTTACCACGCCATGCAGCCACGTGCGCGTGAGTCTGTGCTCGGACCAGTCCAAGTCGGGGCGGCGGCGCACGCGCACCGCCAAGCGCACGCGCGCGCCATCATGGGACGAGACGCTTGCTCCGCTCAAGATTGCGCGCGAAAGCGTCAGCGATGAGATGCTGCGGATTCAGGTGGGCAGATCGTCGTCCTCTGTGGTGGTGTGGGGGATGGTGTGGCGTGCATGCTTGTCTTGTTCATGCCAATCCACTTCCCTTCGTTCCTTCCTTTCATCTGCACCAGCTTGCACTGCGCACGGCTCACGCACCTGCTCATCAACACGACTACCATCGTCACCACCACCATCACCACCATCACCACCGTCGTCATCATTACCAACATCATCAGGTGTATTTTGAGAGCAGCACCTCGCTTGCTGGCGAGACCTACTTGCCTCTCGATCGTGCACTCCGCGCTTTCCCCGAAAACCTCAATGACTGGTTCATCTTGCAGCCGGCCCACAGCAGCAGGCGCAGGTCAGTGACACACACACACACACCACGTCGTATGCACTTGCACGTGTGCATGTGTGATTGTGGAAGAAACGTGGCTATTCTCGTGCATGAATGCGTGTGTTGACCAGGAGGCTGGTCTCACGCCAAAAGCACACTCACACACCCACACAATCTTACTCTTCACACTCACACACCCACACACTCACACTCACACACTCACACTCACACTCACACTCACACTCACACTCACACTCACACTCACACTCACACTCACACTCACACACATTCACGCACTCACACATCCGCATCCACATATTCATACAATCAGGTCTGGGCCGAAATGGCTGAAGCGCGGTGGCGAAACAAGCGATATGGACAGCAGTGCACCCTTCATTTCTTTTCTCAACGCCAGGCTGGCCGCTCTCAAGGTACGCAACACACGTGCACACACACACACACAAACAAACACAAGCACATACAAGACACATACACATGTCAGGCTAGCAGTGAATGTACTGCGGTGTGGACTATTGACTCAGCTTTCACACCACAGACAAGAGACCACAAACAAGGCGAGATTGGTGAGTTGCAGTCGCAGCGTGCACGAGCAATAACAGCACACGTTTGCCTGTGCATGTGTGTGTGTGTGCTTTCATGTTCTTCTTTGTGTAGGACTCGCCACTCGACACGGAAGCGAAGCGGTATTTCGGGTACCGAACCAAATACTGGGCAGAAGTCATCCCAGAGGTAACACCATTGAACACGATGCACTCTCAAGAAGAGAGGTGTCAAAGGAGTGTTGGCATTGTCGGTGACGTGTTTTCTCATGTATGTTCTCCCTATCCATTCTTCTTCGTAATACTGGTGACAGTGACCCCTGAGAATCACCCTGCAATTGCACACCAAAGCGATCGCTCACCTATCCATCCTTCCGTTGACAACAGATGTCGGCGGCTCAAGGCAACGACGAGAAACTGGCAAACGCCATGTGGGAGCTCTTCACAACAGAGACGGCCCACTTGTCTGTGCTCTCTGTTCTCAACAACCCATTCCACCGCATGCTCCAGGAAGTCAAACAGGTGTGTGTGTGTGTGTTTGCGTTTGTGGATGCAATGTTTTGTGTCGCGTGTGTGTGTCTGCCGCTTCATGAGGTTGCTTTGCGTTTGGACTTCCATCTGGCTCGTACATGGCTTGATTGTTGTTGCCTGCAAGCAACTGTAATACCACTCATTCGCCGTTTGTTTCCTCATGCCGAAATACTACCGACTTGGGTGTTTTGCAGAACAAGACGGACACGCGCGTCAAATACGTCTTGAAGGACTGCAAGGTTTGCTCTCTCCTTCTCTCTGCTTGCAAATGCAATGCAGTGCTCGATAGTGGATGGTTCCCGGCTGTGCTGCTTTTCTTTTTCTTTCACAGAATAGGCGCTTCTGCGCGACTGTCTCGCATTCTCTCACAGCTGCGTTTGCGACTGTCTCTCATTCTCTCACAGCTGCACACATACACACACACACATACACACACACACACATACACATACACACATTCACACACACATTCACACACACATTCACACACATTCACACACACACATTCACACACACACACATTCACACACACACACACACACGCTCGCAACACAGCTGGACAAGATATTTGGCAGCGTGCACGAGCTCATGGAAATCAGCCTCTCCTTTGTCAAGGTGCGGCTCGTTTCACGATCATAGCAACTCGTTCATCGCGTTGTTGTTGTTATGCCTGCTTTGCCTATGATCCCTTGCTGCTTTGCACGAACACCACCCTCCATCTTCGCCCTTCCTCACTCTGATTCCCGCGCACACCAATGAACCTTTTGTGTCTATTCCTCCTCTCTTTACTCTGTCCATTTACTCCCTTCTCCCCCCCCCCACACACACACAATCTTTCTTCTCTGCTCTCCCAGGCACTCGAGTCCATCTTTGTCAACCGCGCTGCAAACGTGCGCGAAATGACTGCAGCAACAGTGCCATCATCACCACGCAAATCCAGCCGCAGCCGCGGCAATGCCGGTGATGATGATGATGACGACGGCGATGAGGATGAAGATCAGCAGACGCAGCAGCGTGTTGTCGATTCACTGCTGGATGTTGGCGCTGTCGTTGACGCATTTGCCGCCTTGCAAGAGCGCCTCCTGGAACCAGAAATGAAATATCGCTTGCAGGTGCATCAGCGTGCACGACCGCTTTCACCTCTTTCTCTTTCCTCATCCCCACTTGCTCTCGTCTCACTTTTCCTGCTCACCGCCTTTTGCAACCTTTCTTCCTCTCATTTCGCCTCACACCCATCCCATGACCACCACAAACACCCATCACGTGTACTTTTCACACAGCACGACCGCGCCCGCCGCTACATCAAGCGAACGCTGGCTGATGAGCCTGACGGGGCGTTTGCGCTCTACATGCAGTGGTGTCAGGAGGACACGCGCTGTGGCCGCCATTCGCTTGCAGATTTGCTGACTCAGCCGTTGCAGCGGCTTACCCGCTACCCGCTGCTCCTCAAGGCCATCCTCAAGCACACGCCAGAGGACAGTCCAAACAGGTGCGCATGTTGTGTGTATGTGTGTATGTGTGTGTGTTTAGTGTGTATGTGTGTGTGTGGTGGGTGCGTATTTGACTGGTATAGTGGGTATTGCTTGATTCATGCTTTATGTTGGGAGTTTGCTTCGGGCTGTCGTGCTTGTTTGTTGTCTTCATTTTATGTCAACTTCTTCCCATCCACCACCACCATCACCACCACCACCACCACAACTCCCCGTCGTCACTCATCTCGCGTGTCGTGTCCATGCAGGGAGCGCTTGGAGGATCAAATTGCGTACTTGGCGACGGCAATCGACGAGCACGACCGCAGAATGCGTTTGCAGGACAATTCAAACAAGTTGCGCAAGCTGCAGAACAACCTTATCTGGCCATCAGCCATGGAGACGTCCGCAAATGTACGTCCCAATGCGCGTGTAACCACGGCATATGCAGCAAGCGCAAACAGGACTCCAGCACTTGCTCACTCCCCTGCACGTGGTCCGCTTGCTTTTCTCCTCCTCCTCCTCCTCCTCCTCCTCCTCATCCTCCTCCTCCTCCTCCTCCTCCTCCTCCTCCTCCTCCTCCTCCTCCTCCTCCTCCTCCTCCTCCTCCTCCTCCTCCTCCCTTCTTCCTCCTTCTTCCCCACGATTACAGGCGTTTGTGTCGCCAGTGCACACGGCGTATCTTGGCACGCGAAAGCCGATTGACCTGCGCACGCAACTGCACCGCTATGAGGAGCAGTCAGGCATGGTGGGTGATGATATGCACTGACAGCGATGGCAGTTGCACGTGTTACGTGTGGCCGTCTCTTGTGTGCTGCGTTCCATGCCTTGCGTGCCATGGTCATGCTTCCACGCCTGCACACAACATCCTGTAACTTACTCTCATGTACCTCCCCCTTATCTCTTTCACCCTCCTTGCATGTGTAGACCGATGTGATCCGGGACCATGTGTGCGATGGCTGGCTAACCACGATGACACGCGCGGGGAAGGAAGCAGAGCAAATTTACGTCGCCATTGTGGGGCAACTCATGCTCATGGCAAAGGTTTGTGCAAATTGTGTGCATTAGATGCGAGAAGTGAATGTGCTGTTTCCTTTCAATCGAGCAGGGTTGTGCTAGCGTGCTGGCTGGTTCAATTGCTCTGCTTGATCACACAATCCACGTGGACCGACACGTTCATGTGCTCATGATTGGTGTTGTCATATGTTCTGCACTCACCGACCCCAACTGTGCATGCGCGTGTGTGTGGTGCTCTTGTTCCCTTCTTCCCAGCCGTATCAACAGGCGGCTCAAAGTAACGGCGGAATGAGGCGAACCATCTCAGAGGACAAACCGACTGTAAGTGCACGACGCACAAAGCATGAGGGTAGATGGATGGATGCCTGCTGCTTGCAGGCAAGCATCTGTTGTGGTTGCTGTACAAACGGAGAGGGAAGAGCGACCATCTGCACACACACACACACACACACACATGCTTGCGGCAATGCGCATATTGTGCGATTTGACCCTTGCACCACATGCACCCACCTCACTATTGCCACCTACCTGCCTCAACTCCATGACACCAGCTGCCGGTGTCTGCACACCGGGATTCGTCGGATGAGGATGACGATGATGATGACGGGCTGTTGCAAGTGGAGGCTGCACATCACCTGTGCGAGGTTGTGGTGTTGGACGTGGAGGACCAGACGGCGCTCGTGAAGAACTGCTTCACGCTTGTTGTCATGGGCCCATTCGGCACCCCTGCTTCCCTCCTCACACTCAAGGCAGAGTCCGCATACGACAAGACGGAATGGCTCAAACACCTCAGGTATGAAAGCGACTGGATGTACATGTGAGTGCGTGCGAGTGTGTGTATGTGCGTGTGTGCGTGTGTGTGTGTGTCTGAGTGGAGTGGAGAAAAGTACATTGAGGCACACATGCACGTACACACACGCATGCATGCAACCAGACACACTCGCCTGCCGAGCTCCCGTGCTGATTTTTGCTTGTGCTGACTCGGCCTGTTGGTGTTTAATGTGCGTGTGTTGTGTATGCGTAGGAACGGGATTGACACGACAGATCATCTTCGTTCGGCTGTTCGGAAGCCAAGCCACTCGTTCTTCGTCTCTCGTGATTCCACCTCGACCTTGGTAAGAAAAGGACACACGACAAACGAAACAGCAAATTGAAAATTGGTGTGCTTGTGTATTGTGCACGGCACATGCATTCAATGTGCATGTATACATGCGACTTCCAACACACACACACACACGCACGCACACACACACACACACACACACACACACACAAAAGCCCTCTTACGTGAATCTCCTCTCCCCTTCCCCCCTCATAACACACACGCGCGCACGCGAAGGGCTCGGACATGTCCTCACGACGGGAATCGACGTGGGCGGCTGGGCTGCGCGCCCTGCGCTCTCCAATGGAACGCGCAGCGAGCCGCGATGTGTTTGCGCGTCGGCGGATCAGCGATGCATATGATGAGGTGGGACCAGACCTCCCTCCAGAGGCATACGCGTACGATGACGCCCCTCAGCACGTTCACCACCAGCACCATCACCACCACGGCCATCACCACCACGGCCACCACCAGCCGCGGCGTGCAGACCGGAAATCGTCACGTCGATCGCACACATCACCGCTGTCGTCCACCAACTCGTCCGTGCGTGGCAGCCAGCGCAGCCGCACCGCATCTGCACGCTCCAGCCGCTCACAGCGCATATCGGAGCGCGCAAACCGACTCAGCCAGACTGGCGGGCACATTACATCGCGTGATCTTGAGGAGTCGGGTGACCTCGTTGTGCCGCTTCGCCGCGGCGCTGGTCTGATGCGTCGGCGAGGGCGCGGTCGCCTCAGCGATGGCTCGGATCGCGTGTCCATGGCGCACATCTCTGCCGAGCTCACGGGCGCCGCTGATTCCGGTGGCTCCTCCTACTCCATTCTGCACGAGGAGGACAGGCAGCGCGACAGCAGCGTGCTTGCAGGCAACGGTGGTATTGTGGCGGGCGTTTCCGACGCCGACGGAGGCATGGCCAGCCAGAGCCCGTCTGCCTCACATGCGCGCGTGGGTGCACGCGGATCCATGTCAGTTCGATCAGCAGACGCGGCATTGAGCCTGTCCTCGCCTTCATCGGCAACAGCACTTGGACGTCAGCGCAACAGCCAGCAGCAGCAGCAGCAGCATGAGGTTGCCGGCACGACGGCAGTAGGCGCATACACAGACGACCGTGCCGGTGTTGATGCAGGGCGCCCCCGCTTGCTCAAACGCCCCAGCTCTGCAGATGCGCTGCGAACAGCGCGGAGCAGTCAGAGTACGCTGGCATCGACAGCAACGAGCACCCGCCACGGCAGCACGGATGTGGCGGAGGGCGGCACGTGCGGTGAGGAAAGTGACACGGTGCACACGCCGCAGCCACCGTTGGGCTCTGCGTCACAAACGGCGGTGATGGGCGCGGGCTCACGCGGTGACATCTTCTTCGCCGAGGACGATGACATGTGCGGGAATGGTGCTACTGCTGGTGGTGTTGATGACCACGATGCAGCAGCGGACGCAGGCAACGTTACCGAGCAGCGTGACGATGAAGCGGAGGAAGCTGGCGATGCTGGCCATGGTGACAACAAACAAGCTCGCCTATCGTCCAGCAACAACCAGCAGCACCAGCAGCAGCCCTCGGCGGTGCTGGTTTCGGATGGGCCGAGTACACAGCAGCCTTGTGTTCCTCGCCAGGACTCCCCCGCGTCGTCAACGGCATACGATCAGCAGCCCGTCATGCCCGCAAAGTCACACATCAAGTGAGTGCCAGCGTGAGGTTGCGTGCTTTTATGTGTGTTCTGTGTATGCCTGTGTGCTTGAGCGTGTGTGTGTGTGTGTGTGTGTGTGTGTGTGTGTGTGTGTGTGTGTGTGGTGTGTGTGTGTGTTGGTAAGAGGGTAAGAAAGAACGTCAAACACGCTTGCTGTTGTGAACATGCCCCCTCATCATCACATTGCCCACTCGTCTGCTTGCGTCATTGTGTGCTGGCTTCTCATCGTACCACCACCCAACTCAACACAACTCACATGCTCTCTTGTTCTCTCTTGTTCTCCTTAATCTTCTTTGTTCATCAGTCGCCTGGTGTCTCGGTACCGCAAGCGGCTCTCCACCAACATGGTTGACAAAGGTCGAGCACAGCAACAACAGCAACAGCAGCAGCAGCAACAGCCAGCAGGGCATGGATGCGCCCTCGGCGGGCAAAGCGTGTCTGTGCTCCCTTCACACGCGCACATGTCTGCGAGCGGGCAGAACGCAGTGCCAGCGGCTGGCAGGGATTCGGAGAGGATGCTGGATATGGAAGTGGCTGCGGTGATGGAGTCATCGGCCTTCTCGGTCAAGCTGGCTGGGTCGCACGCCCTGAGGAAACACGGCCGTGCCAGTTCCCCCGTGGCAAGGCCGCGCAGCGCCACATCACCGAACACCATGCGCCACAACAGCGTTGGCTCCCACCGCTTCGGCAGCAGCAGTCGCAACGGCCCTGCTCTGCACGCGTCCAGGGCCACGGGTGCAGGCCACGGCAGCGGCAGTGCTGCTGTTGACATGTCACGACAGCGAGTATCGTCGCTGGGCATGCGCAGCTCCCTCAAGACACGTGACTCCATGCTGCTTGCCTTGGACGGCCACGATAACAGCGGCACCCTTGTGTAGTTTGATGGGTGTATCAGCATGTTGCTTGGTGCATGAGCGAGAGAGTGTGAGTGAGCTAGTGTGTGTGTGTGTGAGTGAGTGTGAGTGAGTGAGTGTGTGTGAGTGAGTGAGTGTGAGTGAGTGAGTGTGTGTGAGTGAGTGAGTGACACTATCGAGAGAGACACTGTCGAGAGAGAGATAGCCCGTAGCCTGCCTTCTTGCCTTGTGTTCGTTTGTTCAGTCCTTCCTTCGTTTTCCTGCTTATGCTTCCACATGTTCAACGTTACAGTCCCTTTTTCGCTTCTTCGTTATGTTACACATCACGCACATCACATCCCAGCCTGACAGCGTGCATGTGTGCTGGGGCTGTTGTCTTTGACGAAGACCCTAGAGTTTCTGTTGTTGCCTTCAGGCAGGCCCAGTTGCTTCGCATCTTCGCAACGCGTCCACCACTTCTTTCCTTCTTCTTCTGTTAAGCTATTCCGTGTCGTTGCTATTTTGTGCATGTGATAGTAAATTTTCGACAAGCGTCAGTTTGGCCAAAGGACGCCAAAGCACAACAGCCAAGATGAGCGGTGGTGGTTTGGATGAGTTGTTGACGTACGAGAGTGACTCGGAGGAAGAGGAGGATGTGGTGGGTCACAGGGGAGGAGGGGGAAGGGGATCGCATGGGTATCATGGCTACTACGACCCCGCTTACGTGGCTCAACTCGAGCAGGCTTACCAGCAAACGCTCAAGCGCCAGGCCAGGTGCAGTGCGGCATGTTGTCAGTGGCATGCAGTTCGTGTTGTGGATCCTGCTTGTCGTCGTCGTCGTCGTCGTCGTCGTCGTCGGTCTTGTTGTTGCTGCTGTTGTTGTTGTCGTCGTCGTCGTCGTTGTCGTCGGTCTTGTTGTGGTTGTTGTTGTTGTTGTTGTTGTTGTTGTTGTTGTTGTTGTTGTTGTTGTTGTTGTTGTTGTTGTTGTTGTTGTTGTTGTTGTTGTTGTTGTTGTTGTTGTTGTTGTTGTTGTTGTTGTTGTTGTTGTTGTTGTTGTTGTTGCTTTGTTGAAGCACTGGCCCTCTAGCATGTACTGCTGTGAATTGCTGTTGATGGGTTACGTTTTGCATGCTCATGTACCTTTTTGTTTTTCGCACACACACATGCATTCACACGCGTGCATGCGCGCGCATGCACACTACAAACATGTGTCATGTTGCAGGGTGGAGCGTGATTTGGAAGAACTGCGAATCCGGTATGATGCCGATGTGCAGCATCTGACAGGCAAACAGGAATCACCAACACGGCGTGGACGTCATTCCTTTCAGCAGAACGGTGCATCGCCCAGCGCCTCCTTGCGTCGAGACAGTGGCCACCAACGCTCCTCTGCACCAACCACGCCGCACTCTCAGCCACGCCAACGGCACCAACCGCAGCAGCAGGGCTGGCGCGAAGAAGGAGAAGAGGACCAACAAAACGAAGAAGGAGACGCACCCGTCTCGGAATCCGTCCTGACACAGCTCAGAGACGCCCAGTACAAAAACGCCGTCATGCAATGTACGTTCCGTGTGCTGCAATTGAGGCGCAGCGGGTGGGGCAGGTGCTCGTCATCACACCAGCGCTGGTGTTGATTTGCAACCTGTGGACATGCATCGCATGTGTGCTGCACAGCACACAGACACACACACACAGACACACAGACACACAGACACAGACACACACACACACACATACGCAGTGCGCCCGAGACGCAACAACAGCATGTACGTGGCGCATCCTGCCCACCTCCCTCACCTGCATTTCTCACCCTTTCGTTGTTGCTGACTGCGCGTTTTGCTGCTGCTGTTGTTGCTGTTGCTGCTGCTGTTGCTGTTGCTGCTTGTGCTGACAGCTCGGCAGGGCGCAATGCAGGACGAGGTTGATGAGCTGACCCGCACCGTCAAGGCCATGCAGCACGACGTGCAAGCGCTGGAAGAAGAGAACCAGCGCCTGCGTGCGGAGCGCAAGCGCAACGTGGAGGAGATTCAAACTGCACGGCGCGAGTTGGAGCGGCTCATCGCTGCGCACAAAGACCTCAACAGCAAACACAGCCAGGCGCTGGCAGACCTCAAGGCGGCAAGGCAGGCCGCGCAACAGAGCAAAGACCAGCTGCTGGCTGAGCGGGAGGACATGGAGAGGGAGCGGGCAGCCATGCAGAAGGAGCATGAGGAGCGAACAGCGGCCCTGCGTGACGCACAGGCCAAGCTGGACGTCGAGCGACGGCAGACGCACCTCATGTTTGAGGATCTGCGGTCGCGACAGCACATGTTGGGGCCAGATGGCCACTTTGCCCCATATGAGCTCGACAGCTTTCCCGAGACTGGCAAGTATGGCTTTGGGCCGACGCAGCAGCGGCAGCGGCAGCGGCACGGTGATGGTGGTCGTGATGGTGGTCGTGATGGTGGTCGTGATCACGATCATCGTACTCATCATGGTGAGGAGCATGAGGATGATGACGATGACGATGACGACCACGAAGTGTACGAGGCGGAAGCGACGTTGCGTTCAAACGACCCTGATGCATATGGACAACGCCCAATGGTGCTGGAGATTGAACGGATGGGCGACGTGGACAGCAAGGTTGATCTTGTGGACTGTCAGCGGCGGGCAGAGGACATGGCGTCGCAGGCGTTTGACATTGCACGCCAGTACGAACGCACGCAGCACGTGCTGCAGACCGCACACGGGGCAATCACGCGCCACTTGGTGCAGGAGCTGATGGGGTTGGAGGAGGAGCACACGCGGCTGCGCCTCGCCCATAGCGCCCTCGCCGGTGTGTATGACAGGCTGGCCCAGCGGGTGAGCAGGGAGAACCCCGACCTTTCCTCTGCCGTCTGGCCGCTGCCAAGCCTGCATGCATTGCCAACCCCAAGCCCAAGGTACATGGCACTGCGAGAACAACACGTCAGACAACAACAACAACAACAACAACAACAACAACAACAACAACAACAGAAGAAGAAGAAGAAGAAGAAAAAGAAGAGCAAGCAACAGCAACAACAACAGCAACAACAACAGCAGCAGCAGCAGAAAGGGGAGCGGCATGGACGTGGTGATGAGGATGCGCATGATGTTGAAGATTGGGAAAAGGCAGAGAGGCAGGAGGGCCATGATGATGATGGTGATGGCATGACAGAAGCCGAGGAACAACACACCGGCGTATCTCCCCACCACCATCAAGTGGAAGAGGACGATGACGATGTGGACGATGAGGAAGGTACTGAACAGGGAAAGCAAGCAGAACGCACGGCAACGACAACAGCAACATCCCAGTCATCAGAATCAACAGCAGCACAGCACGCGATCATGTCGCCTTCCACGCCAATAGCACAGGTGCTGCCCCACCCACATGCACAGCAGCAGCACCACCACCAACAACAACAGCAGCAGCAGCAGCAACGGCGTCAGCTGTCGGCATCTGTGCCTGCGAAGGGCACGGCGAGTGGGCGGGAGCGCAGCCGCGATCGTGGTGGGCGTGGCAGCGCAAACGTGAGCTTTGGGGCGTTTGACACCGTGTATGAGATCAGCCCCGCACAACAACCCGGTATGTTTGCAGGTCTTCCACCACGGCCCGCACGCCACGTGTCTTCGAAATCATCGCAGCTGTCCCCGAATGTGCGGGCAGGCGACACTGCGGGCGTGGTGGGAGAGCGGCAATATGGGACTGGTGGTGGCATGCTGTCATTCTCGCCAGATCGCAGACACAGTGACGAGGAGGAGGAGCATGATGATGGCAGCGTGGGTGGTGAAAGAGTGAGGCTGGGCGCAGCAAAACAACAACAACAACAACAACAACAACAACAACAACAGCCACCGCCTCGCATTCGCGTTGTTGCGCCGGATCAGCACGACGATGGTGGTGATGATTCTGAAGATGACGATGGCGAGGAGGAGATTGAAGAAGACATTGTCACGGACAGCGATGGAGAGCAGAATGAAGCAAGCAAGCAGAAGAAACGCGAAAAGAATGCTGCTGGCGGCGGTGGCGCCGAAGCATTGCGTGGTGCCATGCGCACACCCCAGCGCGAGACAAGTGCTGACGTCAATGACGACAATGACAGCTGGGGTGATTCGAGTAACGATGGTGAGGCACGCCATGCTAAAAGCAATGTCAGCGGTGCACTCGGGCAGCAACAACTACAGCAGCAACAACGGCAACAGCAAGTGCCGGGGAGAATTCGCCTTGCGCAGAACTCCCCCGGTGACACCAACGCAGACGCACGCCCCCAGCGTGTGCGAGGGGCGTTGCGCGACACCTACATGTTGAGCGGGTCCCTACCACGCCGACAGGAAGAAGAAAGGGAGGCAGAAGAACGCCGGTTTGCGTTTGCACGTGCGCCACACGCTCGCGTACGTGCTCGACCGTCCACACGCGTGTCCACGGCAGGGGCAGTGGAGGCTGTTGCTCGCGCGCGATCGCAGTCACTGGCGCGTCTGGAACAGCAACGCCGCGCGCTGCGTGGCGTGGTGGCGGAGTCCTTTGAGCGGTCATCACTCACATCGGCGTCCATCCACTCTGCAGCGACAGCCACGCCCTCAACGTCCTTCTTTGAAGACAGCGTGCTGGCGTCCTCCCGCTACACGCACGCATCTTCGCTGACATCGTCGTTTGGCGACGAGCCGCGCTCGTTTGCCCCACAGCAGCGCTTCCACCAACACCAGCACCAGCACCGGCACCCCGCCAGCCCTGACGCCCTGTCGACATCGTGGCGCGCGCGTGGCCTGGAGTGCTCCCCGCTCACCACCAGCGTGGAGGAGAGTGCACGACGAGCGCGCCGCACACGCACACGTGTACGTGGTGGCACACGTGGCGATGTTGGTGATGATGATGGTGGTGATGTCGATAATGGTGGGAGTTTTCTATTTGGGACGCAAGGGTCGAGGGTGCGACGGGCACCAAAGGCTGGGCGGCGCGCTGATGCTGGTGGTCATGATGGTGGTCATGATGGTGGTGGTCGTCGTCGTCATCGTGATAATCGTGGTGGGCTGGAGACTGGAGATGTAAGCGCCATCCTGAGCAGTGATGACGAGGCAGAAAGGGACGAGAGGCAACGGGGGCGAAAACTTGTTGCTGGTGGTGGCAAGCAGAGTGGCAGTGATGATGCTTTTGAGAATGATGGCACTGATGCCGAAAGCGACGAATTGGATGGCGACTCGACGTATGATGTCATCAACACTGGCGGTGGAGGTGCGAATGGACATGGAGATGGGGATGGTCGTGACGCTGACGACTCAGAGGCATCAGCACTGACCACGAGCACGCCTGTGCGGTCCAACCCTGATCGCCGCAGGCGTCGCCCAGCCAATTCGGAGAGCGCGCAGCGCACACGCCAGCGGCAACGAACGCAGGACAAGCAGCAGCAGTGCAACGGACGACGACATGATGATGTGGATGACGATGATGATGATGGTGATGATGATGCTGATGACGATGAGTGTGAGGATGAGTGGAGCAGCGAGGGCGAGGGCAATGGTGGTGGAGATTGGAGTGCGTGGGATACGACAGTGGATGCGGATGAATCTGTATCTGTCCTGGATCTGTCACAGCAGGTGGACGACGCGACAAAGGCTGCACGCGCCATCCATGACCGTGCACAAAAATTGGCCACAGAATGATTGTGTGCATGTGTGTGTGTGCATGTGTGCATGTGTGTGTGTGTGTGTGTGTGTGTGTGTGTGTGTGTGTGTGTGTGTGTGCGTTGAAGAACAGTGGCTTCGTGGTGGGGTCTGTGTTGTTGTGCTGCGTGAGAGTTTCCTTCCCTGTTATCGATCCATTGCGTGTTTCCTTGTCACCCATGTTCATTCCTGTTTTGTGTACATACACACCCGATATGTTGTGCTCCGACACAAGCAGGCGAGAGAGAAAGAGGAGGGAAGTGACAAGCAGAAGAGGAAAGGGGAAAGAGGACGCATGCACACAGCGTCGGTGCCTTGTTTGTGTGCACCCACACATCACACACAATCAAACGCAGCTTGCTTGCTTCCTTGCTTGCGTGTTGTTGCACACGCACGCAACCAACAAAGTTTGGCGCGAAACCGCTGAATGCAAAGGCCGTTTTTTTCCTCGCACGACTTTTCTTCCGTGAAGACGACTACGCACACAGGTGTGTGTGTGTGTGTGTGTGTGTGTGTGTGTGTGTGTGTGTGTGTGTGTGTGTCCGTGCGTGTGTGTCCGTGCGTGTGTGTATGATGGTGATGATGATGCTGGCGACAGTGCCGTGTGGCGTGTGCATGTGGATGGGCCAAAGGAAACGCTGTGTCACATCATGCGACATGACATGACATCACATCCCTAGACGCTCACCTTCTTTCTTGCTTGATGGCGCTGTCTTGTGTGCGTGCACTCTGCCCGTTGGCTGCTTGGGCAGACGTCACAAGCATCCAAAGGCCAGCGAAGGAGATCCACGCGCGCGCTTGCTTGCGTCTTGCTTTTTGTTTCACTGGGATTGTTAGGGTACAGTTGAGCCATCACGGTAGCTTCGAGATCGACACCAACCACCCCCGACCCCTTCCAACAGACGGCAGCTCGCTGCAGCCTTGCTGCGCTGGTGTGGAGCACTAGTTTCCCACCCGTTCTCGCCATCTCACCGTCATGTCCTCGGTCGACGAGGATGTTGATGTGTCGCAATGCACCGAGGTATGTGTGCATGCGTGTGTGTGTCTGTGTGTGTGTGTGTGTGTGCATGTGTGTGTGTGTGTGTGTGTGAACTCGCTGCTGTGCCGGTGCATGATTCCAGGGTGCATAACTGAAGGGTACATGACTACCAGGGCATGCTGCCGCTCACGATGATTGACCCAACTTGCTTGTGTTCAACTGTTTTGGCGACGCTGTATAAAGGCTGAGCGCATGATTGCGATGTTCGTGGACAAGCTGAAAGATGCGGGAGGCAGCAATGCCAACGCGTTCTCCATGCTCGCCGACAAAGGACACAGCGATGACAGGTACTGCGCCATCAGCTGCAGCACAGCCAATGCACAGCCCGTATGCCGACTGCCTCCACGACCACTGGGGTTTGTGTGCGTGCTCACCACTGGTGTTGTGCTTCTTCGTGTCTGTCTGTATCCAGCGGAAGCGCGAGGTCAAGACGGAAAGCGCAGTCGGATGAGTCGTGGAAGTCCATTGATGCCGCCCACACAACACTGCCGTTTGCTCAGCCAAAGAGTAAGCTGGCTACCTCACGCATGTGCATGTTTATGTGTGTGTGTGTTTGTCTGTCTGTCTGTGTGTGTGTGTGTCTGTCAGACTGTCTGTCTGTCTGTCTGTCTGTGTGTGTGTGTGTGTCTGTCAGACTGTCTGTCTGTCTGTCTGTCTCTGTGTGTGTGTGTGTCTGTCTGTCTCTGTGTGCGTGTGTGTCGGTGCGTGTGTGCATGTGTGTATGTGATGATGCTCACAGCGCATCTAGAGCTGTCGACAACTCACCCTTGCTGCGCATTCTCGTGCGTGTTACTTGTGCCTGTGTGCTCCAGTCATTGAGCACGGAACGCTGCGACCGTACCAGCTGGAGAGCCTTCAGTTCTTTGCCAACCTCTACAGACACGGCGTATCTGGTGGCATTCTCGCCGACGAGATGGTCTGCACTCGTGCGTGCCTGTGACCAGCAACCACTTGTGTGTCACACACACACACACACACACACACACACACACACACACACACACACACACACACACACACACACACACGCACGCACACACACACACACGCACGCACACACACACACACACACACACGCACGCACACACGCACGCTCGCTCGACAAAGCTCATTGCCGACCCATGGTTGCCCGGCTGCGCCCTGTTCTGCGTCGTAGGGCCTGGGGAAGACGCTGCAAACCATCTCTTTGCTCGCGTATCTGCATGAACACAATCTCTCGCGTGGCGTGCACCTTGTCACCTGTCCGCTCAGCGTTCTCGGGTGCGTGGCAGTTACATCTCATCAGCTGGTTCCTGTTCGTCGCTGTTTGCCAATGCCACATGTTGGTTCTCTTTCCTCTTTTCCAAGTGTTGCCCTGTCGACACACACACACACTCACTCACACACATGCATGTATGCACACACACATACGCGTTCACAAACCCATTGGTGCATGCGCAGGAGCTGGTCAAACGAGTTTAAGCGGTGGTGCCCGTCGCTGACGGTGCAGGTGTACCACGGGCCAGAGCGAGCCGCCGTTGCAAAGAAGCTGCGCAAAATTGCAAAGTCGGCTGCCCCCCCCACCACCCCAAATCATTGCTCCATTGTGCTCTTGATACACGTGTGCCTGTGTGTGTGTGTGTGTGTGTGTGTGTGTGTGTGTGTGTGTGTGTGTGTGTGTGTGTGTGTGTGTGTGTGTGTGTTTGGTGTTTGGTTGGGCCTGGAGAACAGCAAGCAGCAGCTGATTCTCAATCATCGCTGACTATGTGAGCGTGCGTGCGACTGGCAGGACGGCAAGGCCGCAGGACTCCGTGCAGGTGCTGCTGACGACATACGAGATGGTGTCCAAGGACAAGCGCATGTTTCGCATCTTCAACTACGACTGCGTTGTCGTCGACGAGGCACACCGCCTCAAGAATGAAAACTCGCAGGTGTGTGTGTGTGGGGGGGGGGGAGCTCTCGTGTTTGAGCTTGACACACCGAAGTGTTGCCACGCTATCGCCCTCACCCTCCAACTGTCATCCCTTCCCAACCTGCTTCATCGTGACCTCTTGTGTGCAGTTGTCGTTGAGCCTGCGGGCGCTCAAGTCGTCATTCCGCCTCCTCCTCACGGGAACGCCAATCCAGAACAACATGCACGAGCTCTGGTCCCTCCTCAACTTCCTCTTCCCACAGGTTGGCACATGGTCTTGTGCGTGTGTGCGTGTGTGTGTGTGTGTGTGTGTGTGTGTGTGTGTGTGTGTGTGTGTGTGTGTGTGTGTGTGTGTGTGTGTGTCGAGCTTGGCGTTGCTTTTGGCACTCCCGCAAAGGGATTGCCTGTTTGTCCAAACAGAGCTCACGGTCATCCACCACACTACACCGCGACACCGCCAACTGCAGCTGTTTGGGGAGTCGACGACATTCGACACGCTGTTTGACGTCAAGACGGGGCACGCGGACAAGGACGTTCTCGCAAAGCTCCACTACGTGCGTTGGCTTGATTCCAGCTATCACCTGCTCGCCAAAATGCGCAAACGAACTTCCATCCCTGCATGCGCGCGCACACACACACTGACTCGCTCACATACACACACACATACACACACTCTCTCTCACACACACACGCACACACGCACACACACCACACACACCACACACGCACACACTTGCTCGCTCGCTGGCAGATTTTGAAGCCGTTTACGCTGCGGCGGTTGAAGCAGGATGTGGAGAAGGCGCTGCCGGACAAGATTGAGACCAATCTGTACGTGACGCTGACAGACCTGCAGAAGAAGTACTACAAGGCGATACTGGAGAAGGACGTGCACGGCCTGCTGGCAGAGATGCGCGGGCGGTCGAAGACGCGCTTGCTCAACACCATCATGCAGCTGCGCAAGGCATGCAACCACCCCTACCTCTTTGATGGCGTTGAGCCCGGCCCTCCATTCACAAACGGTGCGTTGCTCAACGTGTTCGTTGATGGAATGTGCACGCATGTGGTGCTGCGGCGTCCCCTTGTTCCAATTCCTGAGTCACAATCGAATCGCTGTTGGTGTTGGTTGCTGCCGATTGCTGCGCGCTGAATGACTGTGACACCCCCTTTGATATTCCTGTCATCGCATCCCCCTTTTCTCCTGCGCAACCTTTTCATTTCCGCCCACCGCTGCTCAACCGCGCGTTGCTCCTGTTCCCCGTCCCATCGTTCAGGGCCGCACCTGTGGCAGTCGTCTGGTAAGATGATTATCCTGCACAAGCTGCTGCAGAAGCTCAAGGCGCAGGGCTCGCGTGTGCTCATCTTCTCGCAGATGAACAGGATGCTTGACCTCATCCACGACTACTGCTTCTCACAGGTACAAGTCCAGAACGCGGCCGAGCCCTCTGCTGTTCGAGATTTGCTCGGTGCCCTGCTGCTGTTGTGGGAGATGTGTGCCCCTGCGGTGGCAAGCTGCTGCCAATGGATGCCCTGTGCTGTTGGATTTGAGCAACTTGCATGGTTGCACAGTCCTCAGCTGCTAATTCTCAATCCCACATGCTGCCCACTGTAACCTGGTGCCATGGTTGCGTTGCTGTGCACATAGGGCTACAAGGTGTGCCAGATTGATGGCAGCATGAACGCCCTCGATCGCCAGGAAGCCATTGAGCGGTTTCAGGAAGGTGCGATTTGAGAAAGTGGCGGGGTGTGTCGTGTGGCGGCGCGTGGTGGCATTTGGTGCGAATCACGTGCTCTGCTGTGAAGTGGTGGCGAGACGTACTGTTGCGCATCGCGTGCCGTGTCGTCCCAGGCCCAGCGCTATGCTTTCGCGGTTCTGCTGACTCCATCTACCTGCCAATCCCTGCCACCACAATTGCCTTCTTCTTCTCACCACACCATCCCCGCAATGTCGCTGCGTGGCCACGTTTATGCTGCTGCAGACGACAGCGATGTATTTGCCTTCCTGCTATCGACGCGGGCTGGTGGTCTTGGCCTCAACCTCACCAAAGCCGATGCCGTCATCCTCTACGACAGCGACTGGAACCCGTTTGCAGACATCCAGGTCTGTGCTTAATGATGATGATGATGATGATGATGATGATGATGATGATGATGATGATGATGATGATGATGATGATGATGATGATGATGATGGTGATGATGATGATGGTGATGATGATGATGTGTGCGTGTGTGCGATGTGACAGAGGGACACACACACACACATGCACACCATGTGTGTGTGTGCGTGAGCATTCTCATTCTGCTGTGCCATGTGCGCGAGTGTTTCATCCCGCAAACCGAGCTGACCGGTAGTTCCCACATCATGTGCCGTCCTTGCTTTGCGTCCCCGCCAGGCGATTGACCGTGCGCATCGGATTGGACAGACGAAGGCAGTGAAGGTGTACCGCCTTATCACAGACAACACCGTCGACGAACACGTAAGCCAGCACATGCGCCCCACAGACAGACAGACACACACACACACATACACACACACACACTCATGTGTTGACGTGCCCTGATTGCATCGACTGCAGATCCAGCAGCGGGCAGAGGCCAAGCTGTACCTCAACGCGCTCATTCTTCAGGGCGAGCAAGTAGCAGACTCCGCAACCAAGGTCCACCACCCTCACCCCTCCTCCATACACATGCACAGGGCTGCTTTTCTTGTGCTCACAGTCCCTGTCCGTCAGCATTGCATGTCCAGACGATGTGATATCTCCCCTTGAGCAGCTTCGCAGTAACACGCGCTCATGATTGTGGGTTGCTTGGTTTGCAGGTGTCAAATGCAGAGCTCTTGCAGATGGTTTCGTTCGGCGCCGATCGTGTCTTCAAGAGCGATGTACGTGCACACAAATGCGCACATGCACGTGCACTCTTCAACGAGCAACATGCCCACAAACTTGCACACACATTTACACACGCACACACACTCACACTCTCACATACACTCTCTCACATACACTCTCTCACACACTCACGTACACACGCGCAGGCGCCGATCACGGACGAGGACATTGATGTGATTATTGGGCGCGGCGAGTACAGGACGCAGGAGAACATGAAGCGGCTGCAGGAGAAGTGCCAGCACTCGCTGCAGACGTTTTCGCTCAAGTCCGAGTCGGACATAAAGGACAACTACCAGGCGTTTCTGCGCTCTGTGACAGCAATGGGCGGGGAGGAGGCCTCTGTGTCTGCCATGCGCCTTGCGGAATTCGTGGCCCCGGAGCCCTCTGCGCGCCACCGCAGCACACGCACCGCCGCGCCGCTGTTTGAAGGATTCTTCTCCGACAGCGACGACGATGATGACGACGGCGCAGGCAAGAAGGACGCACGCGCACGGCGGCCGTCGAGTGACGATGATTATGTTCTGCCCGAGGAGGCGACGATCAGCAAACCGCGGGCACCGCGCAAGAAGCGGGGGAAGAACAGCACCGCAAGCAACGGTGCTGGCACTGCTGCTGCTGCTGCTGGTGGTGGTGGTGGTGACACGGACGGTGGTGATGAGCACGACGCCACAGGGGACGACTTTGAAGAGGGGGAGGATGATGATGACGATGAAGACGATGACGAGGACGAGGATGAGGATGAGGAAGGCGACAGCACTGCCAAGGACGACGTGCCGGACGAGGTTGCTGTTCCCTTGGTCACGGACGCCCACGTTGCCGCCGGCATGACGGAAGAACGCGTCGGGACATTTGTCGAAGCGTTTAACCAGCACTGGCGCCTGTGAGTTGCCTTGACAGATTTACGTTTGGGGGGTGGGGGTGGGCAGAGGCGGTGTTTGCGCGCGCGCGCGCGCGTGTGTGTGTGTGCGTGTGTGTGTGTGTGTGTGCGTGTGTGTGTGTGTGTGTGTGTGGCGCGTGTGTGTGTGTGCGTGTGTGTGTGTGTGTGTGTGTGTGTGTGTGTGTGTGTTTGTATGTGTGTGTGTGTTTGTATGTGTGTGTGTGTTATTTGGACATGGGCCATCTCGTTGTGACGTCGTCTGCTTCTTGTGTCACAGGTGCCACTGCTGCCGCTGGTTTGGCCAGGATTCCATTGAGGAGATGGTCTTCAAATTCAGGTGAGTGTGCGTGTATGCATGTGTGCGTGTGCGTTTTCCAATCTCTGTTTGTGAAGAGTGTGTATGGTGCGGTGGCACTCAACTTTGAATGCGCTTGCTGATCGTGTGTGTACAACAGGCGAGCGCTTGATGCTGAGACGCCGCCTAATCCGCGGTCGTTTCCGCTGCCCAGCTTGGGCGACGTTCCCTCGGCCACATGGAAGCACTGCAAGGTTCTCCTCGCAAAGCTCGGTTCGTGTCGCCAAATGAGATAATAAGTCTCTCTCGCACGCCTCTGTGTCAGTCTGCATTCCGGCTCAGTTGCGCTTGCACACACACATTCAACACAACACACACGCACGCACACACGCACGCACACACACACACACGCACATGCTCAAACACACACACACACACAAACACTTGCCACATTATGCTTCAGGGTTTGAGATTGTCGATCGGAGGCAAGCGTATGTGACGGCTGCGGTTGAGAAGGAGTGGGAGACGATGGTGCGGGCGCTGGTTGTGCTCGCCCTGCGCATGCGGCGGCACAAGCGGTCGGACACGTTTGGCTGTTCAATCCTCACGCACAAGGCCACCGACGAGGTACAGTGTTACTCGGGCAAACAGTGAGCCCGCGGCAGGCATGCTTGCATGCTTGTTTTGTTTTGGGTTGGTTTGTTTTGTTTGGGTGTGAGAATACTTGCGCAGTCAATCATGACCTCACCACAGCAACACTTGTGTATTGGCTTTGTTGAACAGGTTCCAGACATTCAAGGCGTCCAGTTCAAGGTGGGGTCGTGTGTAGTCGCGTGCCTCGGCGCATGTACCCTGTGCTTGGCATGTAGTCCGCGTGTAAACCATGTGTGTGCGTGTGTGTTGTGTGTGTGTGTGTGTGTGTATGTGTGTGGTGTGTGTGTGTGTGTGTGTGTGTGTGTGTGTGTGTGTGTGTGGGTACTGCCCTGCGGTGTAGTTTGCTCAGTTCTTGGAGAGTGCATTTGTATCTGCTCGCCTCACGCATCATCTCACGCCACAACTTCCTTGTGCGTGTCTCACTCTACCTGCTGCAGCCCAACACTGGCCTGCGCGTTGCCGTGTGGGGCCATGTGGACTGGAAGGCTGCGCGCACGGCCATCCGCAGCCCCACGGGCTGTGTGGCCACGCCTGCCATCATGAAGCACGTGCAGCCGTTTGCTGTCGCCGGGGTTGTGAGTGGTCCGGGTGCACGCCACGTGGCCGTCTTTCAAACGTGAGCGCTCTGTGCAGTGTTCTGTACTGCTTCTGTGTGCACCATGTTCTGCTGTATTCACTGTGGGCGCCGTCGCTCCAACCCGCCTTCACCTTCGCACTTATTCGCGACCCATCTGCCATCATCACCACCACCACCGTCACCACAATCACCACCACCACTAGAGCCACTGATACGCCCGAACTGGCGCCGAGTGCCGGGTTCTTTGGTTCTGGCCGCGGGGGCGTGCTCGGCCGCCAAGCCACCTTTGCTGCTGCCCCGGTCCTGCTCAACAACCGAAGTATGTCGCTGCTGCATTGTCGTGCTGATGCTGATGGATGCCCGTGCTTGCTTTTCTCTCTTACACGTGGAGAGGCTGTCCCGCTTCGTCCTTCCTGAATGATGCAGTTGATCTGTCGGGTTCTACTTCCTTACTTGCTTTGTGTCTCAGTTGTTTTGTCATGCATGGCTGATGTGACATCGCTCCTTGTGCTGTGTGGTGATGCAGGCGATGCGCACCCCTGCAGCGTTGCGTGTGGGGCCCAGCACACCCTTGTCGCCCAAAGCAACGGCCAAATGCTCTCCTTTGGCAATAACACCTGTGGCGCGCTGGGACGAGTATGCGTAAGTATCTTTGTGCGCGAATGCTTGCTTCCTGCCTCCTATTGAATGAGCGAACAGCTGCGGTTTACAGCAACCATATCTGGACATGGGCTTTCACACACACAGACACACACACACGCATTTGAGGACTCGTTCACATCAATCAACACATTTGAGGACTCGTTCACATCAATCAACACTGCGCACAAACCACTGCGCTTTTTTGTGGCTGTTTGACAGGCCGACGATGCCACTGCTGAGAACCCGCCCATGAAGATGCGCCTACGACGGGTGCGTGTTTAATTGCATTGCAAGTTTCAAGTGCTGGCATGAACAGCACCAATCATGCCCCTGTATTTTTTATTTATTTATTTTGGTTTGGTTTGCCGCCTTGCTCACGTGTTCTGCCGTAACGTTCCATCCGTTCCAGCCACTCACTGCAGCCACCACACTCAATGTGCCCCCCCCCACTTCGCTTGACAGCAATTTATCTATGTGAGCTGTGGCCCGCGCTCAAGCTTTGCGGTCACCACCAACGGCACCGTCTACTCCTGGGGTGACAACACTCACAGAACGCTCGGTACAGAAGCTCGTGTGTGTGTGTGTGTGTGTGTGTGTGTGTGTGTGTGTGTGTGTGTGTGTGTGTGTGTGTGTGTGAACCTGCATGTCTGTAACTTGTTGCCCACGGCAACAACTGCAATCGCTAACCGCCACGTTTTATTGCTGTACTTCTCCTTTCTGCCCTATTCGCTCCCACCCCTCCAACTATTCCTGACCGCTTGCCTCTGTTCCACGCAGGCATTGCGTCGCGCGCGTCGAGCATGGCCCGCCCTCGCATTGTCGTCGCCCTCAACTGTGTGCATATTGTGCAGATTTCTTCAAACGAGTTCCACACGCTGTTCCTCGACAAGGTATGCTTGTGCTAGCCTGTCCGCTTCTGGCTGCGCGCGTGTGTTCGGGCGTGTGCTTGTGCGCAACATATGTGTGTGCTTTTGCATGGGGACTGAACCGTTGATTGCTGCCTTGCTCATGAACCACGCCATGGTTGCTGTGTGCTCTGCTGCGGCCTTGTGCTGTGTGGTTTACTGCAGCACGGGCGAGTGTTTGTGTGCGGCCACGGACAGCATGGGCAGCTTGGCTTCCGTAAGACTTGTTGCCGCGGCCCCTGTCTTGGTTGCCTGCACCCCGTCTTGCTTGTGCAAGTGTTTGTTGACTGTTCGCATGTGCACAGGCCAAACGCTGTCTCACTCGCTGCACTGTATCCACCGGGCGGCGTGACTGCCCGACGTTAATGCTACTGACAGGTGGACGGAAGAAGGCACCGACACCGCGCCCCATCCCGGCCTTTGAAAATGTCGTCATCAAGCAGGTTGGTGTGCGTGTGTGTGTGTGTGTCTGTGTGTGTGTGTGTGTGTGCCTGTGTGTGTGTGTGTGTGTCTGCGTGTGTGTTTGCGTGTGTGTGTGTGTGTGTGTCTGTGTCTGCGTGTGTGTCTCTGTGTGTGTATCTGTCTGTCTGTCCGTCCGTCCGTCTGTCTGTCTGTCAAAGTGCAAGAGTGCCTTTAGCTGGCTGTACTGGGCATTGGTTCCAGGCCATCCTGATTCTCATCCATCATGTTACTGTGCTCCTCCCCTCGATTCCTTCTGCTTGCCCCCGCCATGCTTCACTGTGATGTTTTGTTTGCAGGTCTCTGCTGGTCGCTTCCACTCGCTCGCGCTGGCCACGAACGGCGCTGTGTATGTGTGGGGCCGGCCCGTGAGCAGCGCCCCAGTCATGCAAACACCGCAGCTCGTCACCCGCCTCCGTGGCCGCAATGTGGTCAAGGTTGTTGCTGGCGACTCGGTGTCGTACGCCCTCACGTCCACTGGCCAGGTCTGGGCCTGGGGCTCTCCTGACATTCCCGAGCTCCTCTGCACTGACAAGGCCGACATGCCCACCCCGAAGCAACTGCCTCTTCCCGAGCACCTTCATGTGTGTCAGGCGGTATCAATGTGCTTGCAATGAATGCTGTGCTTGACTCACATCGTTGCGTATTCGGCATGCTTCAGCTGACACGCCCGCCATCACCACCCCTCTTCGCGCTGCGTCGTGTGCAGGCGGAGGACATCTGCTGCGGTTTTGGCTTTTGTGCGGCGTCGCTCTCGCAGCGCGAGAAGACGCAGGACAGCCGCATCTGCGAGGCGTGCCTCAACAAGATAGATTCGCCGTCGCAGGTACGACGATACAACTGAGCGTACATGTGTGGTGGTGGTGGTGAACGTGTGCGTCAAGCGCTCCCGTCACCACTCCTGCGCCCGTCCCCCGCCTGCTCAACATTCATCCACGAGTGTAGTTTCCCCTTTTGTTTTGCGTGACCTCTCTGGTGTGCGATCCCATTTACCTGCCTCCATGCCCGTCGCGTCTTGTCGCGTGTCCTGCTCACTGCGTGCCGTCCTTGCTGCTTGTGTGGTTGGTCAGGAGCGAGACGCGGCGTCGGCATCATCGAAGAGCATATGCTACTCGTGCCGCTTGCTAAAGGCGCAAGTGCCCATGCCACCGGCGTGGAAACAGCAGTATGGCGCTGCCTGGCCTCTGGTGCTCACAGCCCCGTTCGTACGCCCGCATCCCTTTGTCTTTCCGACGGCCCTCCTCTCCAAACCTCCAAAGGTATGAGGTTACCGCGCTGTGCTGGCGCTCTGGGTTTGGTACTGGCGGTGCTGGTAGTGGTGGTGATGTTGCGTGATATTGTTCAGGTGTTGAAACCGTAGCTCGTAGAGACTGACGCGGCCATGGGGCTGTATGCTCACCTGGTAGTGCTCTTGGGGACCCGCCGCTCTTCCCAAGCTAGTCGCTCAACATGTCAATGTCCCGCTTGCTCCATCCCATGTACTTAATGATACACAGCATCAGGTGCGTGCTGAGGCGCAGCTTGGTCTGCGGGCATCACTGGAGCGCGCGTGGACGAGCCTGCGGCAGGGTGCATTCCAGCAATACAATGCACAGCAAATGCACACGCTGCCGTCACCACCACAACAACAACAACAACAACAACAACAACAACAACAACAACAACAACAACAACAACAACAACAACAACAACAACAGCCCGACAAGGCGGATAGCCGTGATGATGACGGCGATCGCAGCGCATTAGGCGAGGAAAAGGAAGAGGAAGAGGAAGAGGAAGAGGAGGTAGACGTAGCACATGCAGGCACGGCGGAGGCTGAAGCTGGAGACGAAGAACAGAAGCCCGATACCCAGGAAGCAGAACCAGAACAAGACGTGACAACGGAGGGAGAAACGAAAGCAAAAAGGGCGAAGAGGACACAAGAAGGAGAAGAGAAGACGGCTGAGGAGAACCATCACCTGCAGCAGTGGTCACAATACGCCATGAACCATTCTCAAAGCTATGCCCAGGTAGGTAGGCAGGGAGCGGAGTGCATTGCTGAGAGAAGGGGGAGGAGGTTGCGTGCCTCATGTGGCTGTGCGCATATGTGTGGATGTGTGGGTGTGGGTGTGATGTCTAACACGTCCTTCTGTGAACAATGTTGCCTGCTGCTTTTCCAATGCAGCACTTTTTGGATGTGGTGAAAGAGTACCACGAGTGCAAAGCCACGATCCGGGACCTCATGTGCCAGCTAGTGAACGCCAAGCACCGAATGAGTGCGTCATTGAGACAGCTGTTTCTTACAGTTTGAGCACTGGTCCTTGCTGTGCCGTCTTGCCGAGATTTCTCTGCCATGGGTGCTACTCTTCCACTCGCCTGCTCCCATGACTCCTTACATACACACACGTACACGTACACGGCACTGCAGGTGCGGTCAAGCTGCAGCTGCGGGATTTGATGAGCCTGGGAGTGATGGGGGTGCCGAACCAATCGGAGGTGTTGGAGATGTTTGCTCCAGGCATCACGACTGTTGATGATGTTGCGGCGATGCACACCGCGATCCACGATGTGTTCACACACTCTGTTCGCAGGGAATTGGACGTAAGGACACACAGCACATGCATCCCATACCATGCCTCGTCGATGCTGTTATTGTTACTGCTGGTAGTGTGTTGTGTGTGTATGTGTGTGTGTGTGTGTGTGTGTGTGTGTGTGTGTGTGTGTGTGTGTACGTTGGAGGGGGAGACGTGTCTCTCTCTCTCCCCTTGCCCTTTTCTTGTTGGGATGGAAATGCCGTTGTCTTTGTGCGTCAATTTGTGACTGTGAACTCACTCGGCGTTGCACGTTTGTACACACACACACACACATTCCCGGCGCCCGCATACGCAAACACGCATGCAGATGTTGAAAGATGGGCTGAACCGACATCGACGGGAGATTGCGGCAATGCCTGCGAAAGACCTGTTGCAGCAGCACTTTGCGTCGAGCGAGCGGTTCATGGGGTATTCGCAGCGCAACGCCTCTCGCGCTGGGACGGATCCCGTGGCGATTGCCCGGGCACAGCAGCTGGTTGGGCCCGGCGACGTTGCAACCGTGGACGCCACATTTACCCTAATGTCCAGAGTGTTGGGTGACGGCGCCTTTGACCTTCACAAACAACGCTTGCAGCAGCAGCAGCAGCAGCAACAACAACAACAACAACAACAACAACAACAACAACAACAACAACAACAACAACACAACCAGCAGCAATTTCAGCAGCTATTACAGCGACAACAACAGCAGCAACAGCAGCAACAAGAGGAGCAGCGAAGAAGACAGCAGCAGATGCAGCAACGCCAACGGCAATACAACAAACGTTTGCGTCATCAGCAGTTGGGCGGGGATGCCCAAGCACCTGCACATGGTGGCAAGCGGAGAGCAGACGGTGCTGATGCTGCGGGGCACCAACTGCAGCACCCTTTATCTGCCTCATCGAGCGTGCATGCAAGCAAACGGAGCAAGCGTGTGGGTCACGAGGCCACAGCAGCCACGGCATCCGATGCTGTTGTTTTGATTGCCGACGACGACGACGACGACGACGACGACGACAATGAAGCCGACAACGATGGCGATGCTGCTGCCGAGGGTGGTCGTGTTCGTGGTCATGAAGCTGGCGAGGGTGCAGTGGCGGCGAGTGTCGAGAATGACCATGAAGGACGCCAGGCAGCAGAGACCCACACGAAGCACCGCAAGGCCGCGGGAGCACGGATGGACACGACGGGGGAGCGCGACGCAATAACCACTGGTGTTGCACATGGCACACACGCTGCTGGCGGTGGGAACGATGGCGACGATGAAGCAACGGAGACGGGATCGGTGGAAACGGAGAGCGACCCGTCAACGGTGGCGACAGACAACAACGACAACCACGACCACCACAACAACGCCGGTATCCCGGGCCGCCTTCATCAGCGAAAGGGCTCTGACGAGACGGTCACGGACGAGGGATCAGACCACGGTTACGGCCACGGGCAGGGTGCACAAGCATCATTGCATGCACCACCATCCCACTTCCACCAACAACAGCCGCCGTTGCGAGCGATGCCGACAATGGCAACTGCAGCTGCCTCTGCGAACCCACGCGGTGGTGGTGGTGGTGGTGGTGGTGGTGGTGGTGGTGGTGGTGGTGGTGTGGTACCCTTGCAGGTGCACCTACTGCAGGAGCATCCCATGCTGTCTGATGCTTTGGCCGCACCGCCGTCGCAGGGAGGCGCAGCAGCAGTGTCACCGCAGTCATCCTCGCGCACATCCACGGCTTCACCGTTCAGCACCGGCAGCAGTAGCAAGAAGAAGAAGAAAAAGAAGAAGCACAAGAAGCACAAGAAGAAGCATAAGAAGCACAGGAAGCAGGATAAGCCCATGGAGCGCAGTGAGGACAAGGATGAGACATCCGATGACGGTGTCGATGACGACGAAGACGACGACAACGACGAACAAACATCGCTCAAGTGAAGGAAACGTGGGGCTGTGTCGTTGTGTGTGTGTGTGTGTGTGTGTGTGTGTGTGTGTGTGTGTGTGTGTGTGTGTGTGTTGTTTACTTATACTTGTTTGGTTGGAGGTATTAAGCTTGCATGAAATCCCAGGACTGGAAAACAAACTTTGCTTTGCAGCAGCTGCTTGCAACAAGCAAGCAAGCAAGTTAGTGGAAAACAAGGAAGGAAACAAAAGCGGCGGGTGTGGCAGTTGTCATTGTTTTGGTTGGCTCTCTGCATGTGGCTCTCTGCGTGTGGCACAGCTTTGGTTTTGTTGCGACGAGAGGAAGAGGGATGACTGAGGCCACGCTACGGCTGCTGGCGTCGACGACGCTCGTGCTGCTGGCTGTGCTGGTGACAACGACGCCAGCCTCGGTAGCTGCGCGAAGCGTGATTGGCGACATCACACCGGTGTGTTCAGTGACACTGTGCACTGTGCTGCGTGTGGGTGCTCGCCTTCCTCAGTGTGGAGAGCAGTCCCTCATGCTTGGATGGGTAGATGGGTGGATGGGTGGATGTGGATGGGTGGGTTGTGCAGTGCCTATGCGTCAGTGAGTGCGGCGTGCGACGTGGTGTGGCTGAAGAGAACAAGTCCTTCATTGCACACTACTGTTGTGATGTACTGTGTGGTGTGCTGTAAGGGTACAAACTCATCGGCATTATGATCTCCTCCCCTATCCCGTCCCATTCAGGTCGCACGCAACTATGTGCTTGCAAATGAAGAGTTCTGCCATGGCCAGCTGGTGAGCGTGTTCAAGTTTCCACACCTCTTTGCCCAGATTGGTTACACTTACGGAGGTCAGTCGACTGGCACGCTGCAACGGTGAACGGGCTGGTTGGGGGCACAGTGTCGAATGCACGTGCTTCTGTGCTTGACCCTTGGGAGCAATTGCTTGCTGCTGTTGTTGTACCACCAATCTCACTGTGGTCATTCGTGCTAGTTGGTCTGTGTACTCCTCACCTGCACGTTTCATCACACTCACACTCACATCACATACACTCACACTCACATCACATATACTCACACTCACATCACACACACACACACTCACACATAACACTCACTTACACTCACACTCACACACACATCACATACACTCACACACACACATCACACACAACCCACGCACTGCGTGCGCGCTTGCTTGTTTGCGCAGGAGATGGTCGCAACTTCTTTCGGCTGCCTGACTTGCGTGGCTCCACAGTGCTGTCTGCAAACGAGACGTCGAGCATTGGGACCACACGCAATGAGGACGACGCGTCTGCGCTGCTGATGATCAAACACCTTCCCCAGCACAAGACGCTCACCACGCCGCTGCAAGCTGCGGCGGCCAATGAGCCCACCACGGGCCTGGCAACGTGCACCAGCGCTGACACAGGCTGCGTGGACGTGTATCCCTCCATGCTGGTGGGCAGCAGCACAGAGAAGACGGTGAACGGCGTGCGTGCTCCTGGTGTTGCAATGCACTTTGTCGTGTCCACACGCGGCATCTGGCCAACCTCGCCTCAGGACAGCCTGCAAAGCATCACCGAAGGCACAGCCCGTCCAGATGAGTGAGTGAGTGAGTGAGTGAAAGTGTGTATGTGTGTGTGTGTCTGCGTGTGTGTCTGTGTCTGCATGTGTGTCTGTGTCTGCATGTGTTGTGTTGGTTTAATGTGTGCGTGCGTGTGCGTAGCTGTGTGCTGTGTGGCTCTTTTTTCTCCTTTGCCTCCTTCCAACTCAAGAACCCAAGCGTGGCTGTCATCGCTGTCTTTTTCTTCTTGCTTGGATGTCTCCTTCTCACCACCGCGAACAGGTCAAGCACGAACACCGAACCAGTCGTCATCAGCTTGGTAAGCCACGTGCTTCCACCATGACAACACATGCCCATTCACATGCTGTGTTGTGGGAGTGGATGCCTTGTGTGAACCAGTGCCACCACGCTCACGTGTGTTCTGCCCAAAACGTGCCCTGTGTTCCTTCGTTCTTGTCATTCCTATGCCTGGTTGTATCAGAGCACTGCGGATTCCGATCGCCTTGGACACCTTTCCTTCGCAGATCCCACGCTCGACTTTAACGCGCGCCGCGATATCCCTGCCTCCTTCGCCACATCGACCGGCGTCGAAGGTACCTGTGGTGTCGCATGTGTGTGTGTGTGTGTGTGTGTGTGTGTGTGTGTGTGTGTGTGTGTCTGTGTGTGTGTGTGTGTGTGTTCTTGTTGTGCTCGAGCTTGTGCATTGGGGTTGATATATGTGTGCGTATGTGTCGACAGTGCACGTAGTGTGGATGCCACCACTGCATTGGTTTTGCTTATTGCGCAATGTTTGTCCACTTATTCGCACGGTCTGCACCAGGATGGTAGTGGCAGCCCCGCCTCCGTGGCCACGGTGGGCAACGGGGAATCATTTTCCGTCATTGGGCCAGGCCTCTTCCTCGCTGCGCACGCCGGCTTGGCAGACATGGAGACGCACACGCTTGGCGACGTGGCTGCGTTCCCTTTCTCCACCCCGTCTTCCTCTGATTGGCTGCCTTGTGATGGTCGTGCCATGAACAAGCTGGTGTGTTTGTGTCACGTGATGCGAACAGGACGTTGTCGCTGCTTGCCTTCCAACTTCTCCCATATTTTGAATGCCGCGCTTGTGGTGTTGCTGTTGCTCACAACCTCCACCCATCTTTTCCGCCTCTTCCCCTTTATCTGATTGCTCATGCTCTGTACAGAGCAATTTGCAACTCTTCACGGTCATTGGGGACGCATTTGGCGCCAACTCGACCCACTTCCACCTTCCAAATCTCAATGGCCAGACCATCTACGGCGCACGCACAGACGACAGGTTGGGCGGAGCACATCAACTGCCTGTATGCAATTATGTCGCGTTGAATTTCGTGTTGCGTTTGGCGTCGTCCTTTGTACACCGCTGCGCTGTTGTGCGTGTCTCGTATGCGCACTTGATTTGTTCTGTGTTTGCCTCCACTGATCATGTGGCTTGATACCCGATGCTTCGCATGGGTCTGTTGAAACCAACACCCGATGCTTTGATGGTCATTCATGTCAACATCATTGTTAAAAGCAGCCCAAGTTTCGGCTCGCGTGTCTCTGGGATGCCTGCGCTCGGCTGGGATGATGTTCCTGGCTTTTCCGGCAATGCCCTTCCCAACACCATTGCTCTCAAGACCTGTGGCACCGGACCATCTTGCACAGGTGCATGTGTGTGTGTGCGTGCGTGTATGTGTGTATGTGTGTGTGTGTGTGTTTGGCAAGGTGTATGCCACTTGCCACCGTCCTGAGTTGCATGGCATCCGATCTCATCGAGGCACACATCACGTATCTACTGCTTGTGTGTTCTGCGCTGCCTGCCGACTGCCGCAGAATTGCTGAATCCAACAACGAGCACGTTCTCCACGTCTAATGCCGATGCCATTCTGAATCACATTCGGGTGGCCTCGGTGGCGTTCTACATGTACGCGGCAGGTATGTTGTAACAACCTTCATGTCAAGGCAATCAAGCCTACGCCATGCAGCTTGCCTTGAACATTCTTTCATCCTTTGGTACCCAGTGGAGTTACATCACGTGTAACAAGTGGAGCAATATAACAGCAATGTCTTTGCCGGTTTCCGACACCACCTGTGGTTTTGTGCTTGGGGTTGCCTGCAGGCACGGCGCCATCTCCGAGCCAGTGTGCCGATGGCTTCTATTCCGACGACGTGGATCCCCTCTGCTCCAAGCGTGTGGAGGACATTCTTGGCTTGGCAGTCGTTAATCAGACGCTCACGCCCGCATTCAGGTCAGAGAGAAGGGGAGGGAGGTGTGTGTGTCTGTGTGTGTCCGTGTGTCTGTGTCTGTGTGTGTGTGTCTGTGTGTGTGTCTGTGTGTGTGTCGATGTTTGCGTGTATTTGTGGGTATATTCATCTATTCACGGCCATGTTTCGCCCCTCACTCCTCGCTGACCATGCTTCAGTCCAAATGTGAGCGAGTATACGGTGTATTTGCCATCCCTGCAAGAGATTGTCACCATCAACGTTCAAGCTCCAGACGGTATGGTACATTAGTGCTTGTGCTCATGTGTGCTTGGGTGAATGAACGTTGAGTTTGCGTATCGATGCCTTGCGTGTGTGTCTGTGTCTGTGTGGTGGGGTGTGCGTGCATGTGTGTGTGTGTGTGTGTGTGTGTGTGTGTGTGTGTGTGTGTGTGTGTGTGTGTGTGTGTGTGTGTGTGTACGTGTGCAGCTGTCATCACTGCCCAAAAGTTGCTTGTTGCTGACTCAAATCGCCCGGTGTTCTCTTTGCATCCAGGCTCCGGCGTGGAGGGCGATGGTTTGGTTGTCCTACGTGGCGGGCCCCAAGGCGAAACAGAGCACACTGTTCGCGTGGTGGCTGGAGCAAACACAGAGTACACATACTCCATCACCTTTATCCAGCCGGTACGCCGCTTCCCTTTTCTTTGTCCTGCTTGCCCGCAAGCAACTGCGTCAGCTGGAGCGGCAGCTGTCTTGCTTGAGTGTACCAAGTGTGTTTGCTTTCATCAGTACGGGTGCGAGCACGCCTCACTGTTATTGTTCGATGACTGTGCTGCGCAGTACATTTGTGGCTCCGGAACGGTGAGCGCTGGGGAGCGGTCGCAACCCGTCGCAGTGGAACGAAGCACAATCTCGGGCGACATGTGAGTGAATGTGTGTGCATGCGTGCGTGCGTGTGTGTGTGTGTGTGTGTGTGTGTTGCCTGCTCCTGCTGGGATCTATGCTGCCATGACTGCGCTGCTGCTGGCAATGCTGCTCCAAAGCTGTTGTTGGCGGTCGTGGTGGATGTGTGGGCGCCCGCTCCTGATTGTCTTGGGGTTCTCCTGGCAGTGCCCTCATTATCATCTGTCGCTTGTGTGCTGCCGTGCTTGGACAGCGAGGAGTATTCCAAGAACGCTGACTGCCCGCAAGGCACGATTGGTTCGCTGACAGTCACGTGTTCGCCGACATCCCCACAGTGGCGCGTCTCAACAGACACCTGCGCTGTTCCAGGTGTGTGTTTTGTGTGCATGTGTGCATGTGTGCATGTGTGTGTGTGTGTGTGTGTGTGTGTGTGTGTGTGTGTGTGTGTGTGTGTGTGTGTGTGTGTGTGTGTGTGTGTGGCTGGACAGAAGACTGCGTGTTTGTCTTCATTCTGATCGAACATCCCCCCCTCCTCCATCCGCCATGCTGCGTCACTATTGCCGTCAGATTGCGTTGGCGGCCGCGTGAAGAGCCGGCGCGTTCGTGTGATGCTGCCGCCAGGAAACGTTGGCGACACAGCGTACGCAGACTGCCCTGCTGGCTATCGAGGTGCGGGGTAGGGAGGAAGGCGCAAGCAGTCTTAGTCAGGCGGTGCTGTTGGTGGCGTGCTGTTGATGTGCTCGTGCAACTGTTGATGTGTCTTGCGCTCGTTTTGGTTTCGTTGCCTTTTTGTCTTGTTGACCAGCGGGATCAGCTTGCTTGCTCGCTTCCTTGTGTTGCTTGGGGTGCCATGGTTGACCTAGAGCTATGCGAATTGCTTCGTTGGTGCCTGACTGGATGAATATCAACATCATGGTCGCATATGTTCACACCGACTCAACTCTTCCACTGCACACAATCCTCCCCCCCCCCAACCCTTTCTCCCTTTTAACACGGCAGGCCGGCTGTCGTTTGAGTGCCAGCAAGCTCACCAGCGCCGTGCTGCCTACCGCCGCACGAGTGGGCAATGCAGAGGTGAGTGCACGTGCTTGCAGGTACTAGATGGTACACAGGCGCCGTGCTGGCGTGTGCGAAGACGCAAGTCACATTCACAGCGCACTTGCTTTGGGTTTGTATGCACCCCTGGCTCACATGCACATCTCCACATCACCCTGTGTCCTCCCCCCCCCCCCTTCACTTGCCTGCATGCGCGCAACTTGTGACCAGGCTGTGCTGCGCATCACCAGGACACCACGGGTGATGCGTGCGAGGCCGCATGCCAGCGCCAATACAATGCTCCCTCACGCTACACCCTCATTGATGCAAACCCAACAACGGGCTGCAAGGGGCGCTGTGAGTGTTTCCTTCTCCCTCCATAGCACCTTTGAACTCTGTGTGTGTGTGTGTGTATGTGTGTGTGTGTGTGTGTGTGTATGTGTGTGTTTCCTTTCCTCTCCAACCGTCGTTGACAACCCGCACGCGTTTCGTTCTTACAGTGTTGCGTCACATGTTCAATCGCGTGGGAAAGCAGCCACATTGGCATGTTTCCGTCTAAACGCCCAACCCTCTCCCCAAATACAGCCATCTGCACCTGAAGTCATGTCACAACAATGCTCAGAAGGACACGTGAACTACGCACAATCACAACTGCAACACGTGGACGGTCATCATCTGCGGAGGAGACGGCGGCCAAGCGTGGTGAGCGACATGAGCGTGCGTGCAGCAGGATACACCGTGCGCTGTGCACAGGCGGTGGTGGGGAGGGCACGGGGCACAGCAGCGACGGCAGCAGCGCACGTGTGCATTGCGCGCTTCTGTGCGTAGTAGCGCCGTTCCAGGCTGTCGACACGATCCAGGAAGAACGTGCCGGGAAACAGGTTCGTGTCGCGAGACTCGGGCGAAAAGTCAAACCGCGTGTACTCCTGCAGTCGTGGGGTGAGAGCAACATGAGTTCGTGTGTGTGTGTGTGTGTGTGTGTGTGTGTGTGTGTGTGTGTGTGTGTGAAAAACATATGAGCGACAAACGGTTGCACCCATGGCTGGGCAAGCGACGAACAGACACGCGCACTAACAGAGACTTAGGACACACACACACACACACACACACACACACACACACACAGATGTACGCACCCACACACACCAACACACATACACACACACACACACACACACACACACACACACACACACACACACACACACACACACACACACACACACACACATTACCTTGGGAGACGCCGTCGTAGGCCTCAAGGTCTTGCTGGGAGACATACATGGAAGGGAAGTAGACGTCCATGGCGACGATGCCCACATCCTGCGGGCGGCCGCCGAGCCACGATGGGACGTGGGTGGCAAAGTTGTTGGTCTTGCTGGTGTTCATCTTTGGCGTCAAGGGGAGCGAGAGACAAGCAGGGGTTGGTTGATCTGCCGAGGTGGACGTTCAGAGATGCTGAAGATCAGGCAAGGGCGAAGGCATCGAGAAAATGTCACCAATGGATGGTGGTGGTGGTGGTGGTTGATGGTGCACCTTCAAAACAACAACTAACCAAGCCCTCGAAGGTGGCGTGATCACGTTAATCATGTCTCACACCACATCACAACTGCTGTTGTTCCTCGTGACTTCACAACACAACAACAACGTCACAGACAACACCCACTGCTTTTGTGTTGTGTGTTGTGTGTGTGGCAACAGCCATCATGATGGCGTGTGCTGGTGGTGGTGCCACCTCCTTTAGCCTGTTTTTCAAATCGCGCGGCAGGTGTCCGCTTTCCTAAACCGCATTTTGTGAGTTTCGCACATGTCAGCAATAAAAGCGCTGACTCATGCGTGGGTTGGGTTGCACTTTCAAAAAAGTGGCGGCGGGACACAACTCAGTCGAAGAAGATTTGCTGCGGCACTCGTTCACCGCGCAAATTGGGGGTTGTCAGATGAACGATGGCGATGATGGTGGGGCACGACAAAGGCTCACTGATCACCTGTGCCAGTAACGTCTGCGAGGATGGTGCGCACGATCCAGGTGAGCGGGAGTGTGAGCGGGTGTGAGTGAGAGAGCGGCAACTCGGCTCATACCTCCCGCAACACTGCATGCTTTCCCTTGCTGTGGCGCGGTGTTTTTTTTTCTTTGCAGGCCTGTGTGTTGTGAGTGTGTGTGAGTGAGTGTGTGTGTGTGTGTGTGTTTGTGTGCCTGCCTTCTCCTTGCGTTGCTTGCTTGCTCGCCATCCTCCCGCACACACGCACACGCACACGCACACACCTTCATGCCACCTTTTTCTCTCTCTTGCTCCCTGTGTGTGCGCTCACTTATCCAACCACCCACTCTCCACACCCTCCTCGCTTGTCTCCTCCCTTCCCTCCATCTGGCATCGATCACAGGCCCACTGGCAAGCAAGAGGGTGTGCCACCACCCTACCCTCCGGTACACTGCCAAGGAAACACCACGAACGCACGCCCCGGCTGTCGCGGATCTCCGGGATCGGGATCCCTTCGCAGGCCCACGGGACAACACGGCGGTGACTGGCAGAAATGGAACAACACCAAGGCATGCCACGACTCACAGGCCTGACTGATGGCCATGAACGTGTTCCAACACGTCCGCACACCATGCCTGCAGCGTTGTCAACGCAGGCTGCCGCGCCCCACTCAAATGCCTCCTCTTCGGTCAATCCGTACGCCGATCACAAGTCAACGAGCCCGGAGCCATTTCGCCGTCAGCCCCCATCAACGCAAGCCGTTCTGCACCCAACGCCGGCCCACGGGAACCCCTCCGCACGCCCGCACGCAACCCAGGCCGCACAGGCAACGCTAGCAACCAGCCCTCAGTCACAGGGGTTTCCGCCGCAGGCTCAGCCCACCCCAATCCTCTCACGAATTCCAAGTCAAGACACACGGTCAAACAGGGTTCTCAACTTTGGCGAGTCTGCTCCACGGAGCGGTGCAGACGGCGGCCCATGGCCCGGCGTCAATCAGCCACCACTGTACGGCGACCTCCAGCATGGCAACCCGTCTTCGTTCCGCGACTTCCTTTCTCACCCTCAACACTCGACGAGCTCTTCCGCCATGGGCCCCAACGCCACCAACGCCATAAACGACCTTCTCCCTTCTGCTTTCCCGTTCTCGTTCGACGAGTCACAACTTCCTGGCATCTCCAATACGCCGCCAAGCTTTGGGGCACCTGCTGAGCTCACGGAACTGCCAAGTCCACCCAACCAAGAAGCGGCTTCTCGTCAGCTCGAGTATGCAACCGACCGTCCCGCCACCGCGCCTCCGACCATCCCCACAATCCCCGCCACCGCCGCTTTCGCGACCACAACTACCACTCCCCCAACTCCCTCCTCCTTCTCCCCTTATGCGTCCGCTTTGATGACCGGACCCGCCACCCAGCGTGTGACACCTGACACGGGCGAAAACACCAACGCCCGCAGCAACGATGCCGGTGACCACGACGATAACAACAGGGATGAGGAGGGGGACGATCATGACTGGGAAGACTGCGATGATGATGATGATGATGACGATGAGAACAATGACCACAACAATGGCGGTGCTGAGGACGACCGTGCCGTGAGTCGCCAAATGCACGCTGTACTTCAGGCACGGCGGCACCTGAAGCGGCTGCAGCGGGGCGCCAGGCGTTGGCTTGATATCACTCATGTGATGTCACTGCTTCCATCCGAGGCTGACATGACCCGGCTTCAACACGTTCTGGCCCGAGGCATCACACTCAACGACACCGACACTCGCGCGCTCTCCCGCAGCACATTCACAAGGATTCGCCGGCGTATGAAGCAGACTTATCAACTGCTGTCACGACTTCGCCACCTCTTTGGCCTTTCTCGCCGCCGGGACCAGAACTGCAAGGCTCAGCGCAAGCATCGTGGCCAAAACTAACACAATCGCTCGTAGAAGGCACCTTCCGTGATCCGGCCTGTCGATGTCTTGTCTTGGCTCGTCTGGTCAGCACAAGCCCTCGTCTTCACGCGTCGCTTTGTATGTCTTCAGCTGAGTTGTTGTGCAAACGCCGCTGCGTTTCCGCCAACACTCCCTCGCAGTTCTTCCTTGCGCTCGTTTTGTGCCGTTTCTCCCCTCTGCTTTTGTTCCTTCTTTCTCCCTCTTCCTGCTTTCTTTCTTTTCCCCCTCTTTGTGCTTCCTTTCTGCTTTCTTTCTTTCTTTTCCCCCTCTTCGTGCTTCCTTTCTGCTTTTCTCTCCCCCCCCCTCTCTCTCTCTTCTTGTTTCCGCATTGCTGATGTGCGTGCCTTCCCGTAGTCCCCTCCTTTCCATTGCATTTGTCACCATGCATCTGATCGAAAAGCTCTTGCTTCATGCTTGCTTGCTTGTGTTACTGTTCTTTCACTCGTTCTGCCGCTTTTGTATTGCCAAACTCCCTTTCGACTGCACCTTTGCATGGCCATGCATTGTTTGCTGCGTCGTTTACTTCCCCCGTCAAAAGAAAATGTCTTCACAAATGGCAGACGGACGGGGAGAGAGACAGAGAGACACGCAGAGAGCGAGAGAGACAGAGAGAGATCCAGAGAGACAGAGAGAGACAAACATAGTGGCCAGCAAAAACCACCGAAACTAACTTCGACACCACTGACAAGGAGTGTGGCAAGTAACAATGTGTCGAACCAAGCACAAAACCAAACATGAACCTGATCCAGGCACCACTTCATCTCCTTGTCATTGCCTTGAAGCGCGACTCTGTGAGTGTAGTGTGAAGGTGGACGTGGAAGGGTGAGGTGTGACGTTGATGATGTGCGTGTTGCAGACGAGAAGCACTGTCAGTGGCGATCATGGTGGACGTCTTGAGCGTTGGGATGAAACCACGGCCAAAACAACCACACACACACACACACACACACACACAGTGGGTGCTTTTCACCTAGTGCTCGAGAGTATTCATCCAACGCTTGCGCTGACGCCATCATCTGCACATGCACGGCCGCGGCATTCCAAGCATGAGTCACAAGCGCACGGGACAACCCAACCACATCAAGCCCCCAACACAGGAACCCATACATGAACACAAACACACATGCCCTCTGAACGCACCTCTGTGACTGCACTTGACAGCACGTCCACTTTGTCCAACAACGGCCTCAATTCCTCCTCTGCAAGCAGGGCAACATGAAGCACGATGTGTGTGTGCGTGTGTGTGTATGTGCGTGTGTATGTGTGTATGTGCAATTATGTGTGTTGGGGTTGAGGGGCCTAGATGCATACAAGGAGAACAACAACAACAACAACAACAACAACAACAACAACAACAACAACAACAACAACAACAACAACAACAACAACAACAACAACAACAACAACAACAACAACAACAACAACAACAACAACAACAACAACAACAACAACAACAACAACAACAACAACAACAACAACAACAACAACAACAA